AAATCGAGCAAAAAAGCCAGTTGAACATGCTATTCTAGTCATTTGGATGAGACGAAAAACCGAGGTCCCGTATATACATTGGAATGCACGTAAAAGATCCCTTGGCAGTTGGAATTCGATATAAGAGTAGGCAATAGTGCCGCTGCCCGGGCAAAATTTCCCTCATAGCACACTGTATACCTGTCTTCATTAGCCCAGTATAGGAGCAGAACAGTAGGACGTTAAACCCCATTTAATTTCATTTCATTTCAGTTTATCCGAGGTATGTGAACCTGGACATGATTACACTTACAGAGTCTTAGCCACCACCTCCCAATCTGGTGATAAAAAATGAGCGGTTAAATTAATGCAAGACTCATTTTGTTCATCTAATGTCCATACATCTGTGGTCACAACGGCTAACTTCTGACTTGGGTCATTCCTGATTTGACGTTCGTCGGAACGAACGGCATCATAGATTCTCTTCCATTGTTTTTTTGAGTGTTTTACTTGACGGCAAATTGTGGGATGGATTCAGGACTTCTATTAATTCCCGAAAATGATCATTGTCAATAAGAGAGAGAGCGGCTGATAATGCTTGGCTACAAACTTGATCAGTTTCTCAGTGATGTTTTTTGCTGCGCTGAATCTTACTTGCTGTTGCCTGAAGAACTTTGTGTAAGAACTTTTTAATTGGCTGAATCTTGCCTGATCCCACGTCCCGTGCAGAGGAAGTATCTGGAGCAACGTAGCCATGTTTCAACTTCATGTGGTTCCAAAAATTAGCCTTGATGTGATATTCGTCAAGACCATGGAGGTGTATATATTGTCAATATATACACCTCTATGGTCAAGACAGCCAACTCCACCGCGGAACTAACTGGCTAACCAAAGTAGGTAACATGCCACTTACAGAATAACTGTCTCTGAAGACGGTAGATCTATGTAGGGGTAGCACCCTTACAAGCTGTGGTTAGGTAATCTAAGTAAGCTTTGAATGTAAATGTGGCAAGGGAAGTCGCATTTATTAATAATATTTGAGAGCAAATAGAATAAATAATAGATATTCGAAAATATTCGAATATGGTAATTGCTATTCGAATATTATATTCGACGAGCGAATATTCGAATATTCGTGCCGAACACTAGTAAAAAAGGGCACTGTCGAAAATGAGAGGGGGGTGCACCCCTCGCGCCCCCCTTGGATCCGCCTCTGTTAAAGATGGGCATACGCCATACAATAATATGGAAGACCAAACAGCTCTTTATTGGGTATTCTTAATTCTTAGTTCTTAATTCATATTCCTTAAATTTCATTTCTTCATTTGTTGTGGTATTTCGACATTTGTACACTAAAATTAACATTATCTTAAAATTAACATTTGTTTTACAAATCAGACATTTGACATATTAGATTATTTGTAAAATGTATTTTAATTGTAGGCTATTTTAATATAAAGATAAAATTTATTTTAGAAAATCAAAAATTAGACTCATTTACATTTCATCAGAGAAATACAACGAAAATCAAATCTGGAACAACAAATTTCTAAATACAAATCTCCAAATAGAAATCTTACAAAACATTTCTCCAAAAACATTTCTCGAAATCCATCGAACCGGAATATTATGACGAAATGAGCGGAAATCAACCTGGCATACAATAAGTCACCATACAATAATGGGGAATGGAGCAAGCATTTTCAGAAATTAGGTTTTGTCTGATAGCGACATATTTCTTTTCTCAGTCGAAAGAGTGTTTAATCTCTTCTAAATCATGCAATTATGAATGTGCCAGGGAATAAGTAATATATTGAAAGAGGGATAAATAAATAAATACCTTCCGCTCATGCATTACACGATAACCCGTAGTTTAATCTTTAAATAATCCCCCAACACACACACACACACCCCACCTCACCCCACTAACTTAATAGTATTTAGCGTCATTCAACTGTAATATCTTTTCCAAGCTATGTAAATTTAAATGTGCCAGAATATAATTTACATTTCTGAAAAGGTAAACGACACTTCTTTTCAGTGGTATTATGTGTGATATCTGGAATGTCGTAGTATGACCCGTATTTTGACATTAAGACCCCACCCACTCCCTCCCAATCAATAAAAAGAGTTTAATAGCGTACAACTTTTCAAGTTATTCTCTGGCACATTTATATTTATATACCTTGAAAAGAGATCAAAGTTCCACGATACTAAACTTTATTAAGTGAGGGGAGGGGAGGGATAATTAAAGATACATTAGTTAAAAACTAGATAGTGTAAAGGTAATTTGCTGAAAATTTCAGTCAAATTGATCCACTATCAGCCGAGAAAGAAGCGGGTGGCATTTTTGCATAGTCTCGGTCATCATTACTAAAATCATTAATATAAACAGCATAGTCTCGATTATCCACTTTTTAAAATTTAATTATTAATGGCCGTTAGCGGCATATAGGAATCTAATCCAGCCAACATCGAAGGCTAAGTTAATTAATGTCTAATCGATAATTTAGATAACATTTCAGGCCTAAAGAAAGACTTATAATAAACAGATTTTGCTCTTGCATAATGCATGTTTAAGCTGAAAGTATGTTTATTGTTTGCTACAAAATGTAAATTATTTTCTTGCACATTTGTAATTACATACCTTGAAAAAAGAACAAAATTGAAATAGCACTAACATGTATTAAATGAGGAGGGGGTGGGGGTATTTAACGTCAAAATACGGGCCATAACACAAAATACAAGATATCGGGATGCATACCATTAAAAGGGTCCCAATACATTTTCAAAATTGTAAAATATTTTCTGACATATTCATATTTACGTACCTTGTTAAAGCAGTTATAATTTGGATCTTCTGAAATCTATTTAGTGAGGGGATGGGGTATTTAAAAGTCAAAATACGTCGATATACCAGTTATCGTATAAAATGCTTCACCGGAAAGTATTTGTCTATCGCTCTTTTGAATATTCGAGTATTAGCTATTTTACTGGCACATTCATGATTACATGATTTAGAAGAGATAAAGCCCTCTTTCGTTTGTGCAAAGAAATATGTCGCTATCAAATAATAACCTAATTACTAAAAAATAGACTACTTTCAATTTATTTTATTTAATGCTAGATCAGATTAACAATATATATTATACTCTTCAAAAAAGTAGGGGATATTCAGAAACAATACAAAACTGCGGAAATGCACTGCTGTTTTTATTAGAGGTAACCAGTGTATGTTAATAACAGGCCAATTGCCTACACATGAACATAAATAGTTCATATGGGCGGCTTATCTGACGGCCCCATTTCACTCGCAAAGAGATCCACTGTCAAAAGTGAAAATGGACGTTTTTGATTTTTGTCCTAATAATGAGTAATTGCTCCACCAATCCTGAGCCATTCAGCAATTCGTCGTGGCATGCTCCTAATCAACCGTCCAATCACGATTTGGGGCAATCTGACCCGCTCATCTTTCAGTGCAACGGCCAATCCTTGCAGTGTTATCGTTTGACGTTGACGTCGACGAACACGTCTCCTGATCAAATTAAACGTAACACACTAAAGCAAAGATACACTAAACAGTAAATCTTATGCAAGAACCGATAGGAAAGCAAACACGTCGGATAGGATAAACCAGCAAGGGACAGTTTTCATCAACCCTTCCTTGAAGTGTCAAATTTGACAATGAACCCCTCCCACATGTATGGCGCTATTGCGTGTCGCACATGCAGCTCAGTGGTTCTTTGACGTCACGCGTGCATATATTCCTAATCGTCGGGCTGTCGATTAGCGGAACCCTGACATTTTTGTCCAGTATTTTTCTAGTAAGATTGGATATCTCTACTTTACATATATACCAAAATTGCCATACTTTTATTGGAAATAACCACCCGATAAATACTTTTCTGGGAGCCTATCTTTAAAATATATGTTTATGTCCTAACGTTCTCAGTCCCTGTCGATATTTGTGCATTTCAGACCATAACTTTCTGGATTATGACCTCTGATTGAACGAAATGTGTCTTTTAATTTTAGCTTGTTCTCAATCCATGATCCCGTGCAAAAGGTGGGCGTATCTTTCCTGGCAACTGCTGTTTTGTTTTTTTTTAGTTGGCCAGCTCATGCAAATTACAGAAGACAAAAACACAGTGTAACATTTAAAGACAACACTAGTGTTATAGGTGTTTTTTTTTAATTTTCCACCGGTGTTAACACTGTTATTACCCTAGTTTAGACACTGGTGTAAACCTAGTGCTAAATCGAGGGTCTCAGGTTGAGGCACCGAAAAGAACACCAGTTATACACCACTACAACACAACCTTAACACAAGTGTAACCCGGGACTTGAATTGACCCAATGTGTTACATCCAATTCCATCTGCCAAGGGTTCTTTTACGTATGTATAGTATACGTGACAAGGAGTAAGGTCGCCTGTCCAATCTTGTGGGTTTTCTCCGGGACCGTTAAACCGCATTTCTCTCTATATATATCTTATAGCCTTGTAAGTCTAAGCAAATTCCTTCCTAAGCCACAATATAGTGGCGATTCGACCGTATCTCGTAAAGTGTCCCATTGGCGACATTGAAATATTTTCAGTTAAGAGAAAAAAAAATCTTCGTAGCAGAGTTGTTATCATTTGTTTGTTCAAGATACGTAAAGATGGGAGGGATCAATAGAAACCAAGGTAACTAAAAATAACCATATTATAGAATTGATTTATTTGATTTTATATATTATATATTATTATTAGATTCAAAATGTTATTATAAAATAACACTTCTAATTTATATATATTAGCAGCATTTCGAATTATGCAAGCAAAATGTGGTAAAACTACGCGCACCCATTCCAACTAGGATTTTTTTGTATTATCTAATTGGTAGGGTCAAATTAGCTGCAGTTCGATTTGAGTAAAATATGGTAAAAAAAAAGCCCCCCCCCCCCCCCAAGAATGATGACAACATAGATCCTTCTATGATGACAATAACAATATTGCGTTCAGAAGGGGAATAACTCTAATAACAATTTCTAATATTAAATTGCGCGCCAAATGTTTTTAACCGGTTAGAACTGCTCTGACTAGCTACTGAAGTCTTCCTTTAGCGCCATTTTGACTTGTTACACGCAGGTTGGTGAGTGAATGCATTTTAAATCTAGAGTCATCCGTGACTTTTTTTCCTGTTCTGTATTAGAAATAGTATAATCTATTAGATTAATAATCTACTTTGAATATTTTATGCATATTTTAGCTAGTGAACTACATTTAATGTCCGAAGCGATACATTTTCTCGTTGTCTACATGATTTGGTTGACCCGTTCGGTTTGTTTATATTTTATTGAACTTCATTTATTCTTATACAATGTGTATCCTACATTTCATAATTGTACTTAGTACATGAATTTAATTTTAAAAATAACTGTTTTATTACGATTGATCAGATTAGTGTTGGTTTTGTATGGTAAAAGACCCTTGAATCATCTTATTCATAATTCAGTGCCGTGCTTCCGGTAATAAATTAGGCTAGTCCTCGACTGCGTATGCCTATCATAATGTTACTTTTACAAATAAAATAACATTCAGACTCTAAATTAGTTAAGCTGATCTGTCTACCCACATAATAAAAATGGACATTTATTTTAACTCATAGATAGGACGAGGTAAAAAATAAAAGTATTTCATTTCATCAATCAAGATTCAAGTTATTGTGTAGTAAGTACTAGTAGTGTGTAGGCTAGATTAAGATAACAAAAAATTTATAGGATTGTGGGTCTAATTGTTGAATTACTATTTTGTTACTTACTAATTAAAATAAGTAGAAATAATAAAAGTTATGATGAATCAGTATGAAACTTATTGGGTGTGAGGATTTGGTTGAAATCCAAATTGGTTTTCTCCTGAAAAGTCTGACTCTGGCCAGTATTGACTGACTTTTCCTGGTTGGTTCAAGAATAAACTAAGTTACTATTTATAAATTATAATAAAGATCTACCATGACCAGTATGAGTATGAAATCACTTCTGATTCTGAGTTCTGACTTGATTATCTTTTTCTTGTGGAAACCGAAAGTAGTTCTCAATTGAATTTTTCATAATAAATTTGGGTAAGCTTTTTTCCTTATATGCGGAACCCGAGTATTATTTTTGTGTACAAATGTCAAAATACAACAAATGAAGAAATTTAAAGTCTATGAATTAAGAAATACGAAGTGGATATTTAACCGTATATGGCAAAGTATCTACTTCCACTATTTTACCATACATCGTTTCGGCGCAGAAGCACGATTTTACGGGGAAAACATAAACCACTGACAGTCTTAGTACTTAAATTAAAACCAAAATCCGCAGAAATCCGCCCTCGACCAAAATAGAATAATATTCTAAATGCTTTTCTACAATTTACATTTATTATCTTATTTTCTTTAAAAATAATTCTCCAGTTTCTACCATAGAAATTCAAGTATGGCTATTTCGTTCCTTTATAAGAAACGGAAAAAGAAGCAATGTTAGACAAAGACCGAATAGAACTGTTGGGTTAGGGTTAGGTTTTGGGTTAGTAGGGCTTGCCACGAGACGCGAGCAGTTGCTCACGCAAAATTTTAAGAAAAACCTGTAAAAATAATCAAAATATTGACAAGTTTATTGCCGAAACTAACCCAACAATGTCATATTAAAATCTGTCTGTCAAACTGAGATTCACCCAGCTGCACGCGGCATTTCCTCCTTAAATTTGATTGGCTAATGAAGTTACTTGCCACTCGTGTTACTAAAAATACACCTGAGACCTGAATGTCATGACTGGTTTTCCTACGAACACCAGTAACAAACGCGTGATAATCGAGTCTAAAGTAAAGGATGTTTACATCCGGCATTTGGCATTCACGCTAAATAAACACGTTTCAAACTAATATTTGTTCGGTATTTCTTATTTTATCAGAACTTTGGTTTTTATTCCATTGTGCAGTCGTTTAATTTTCAATGTAAGCGTAATAATGGCCAAAGGAAACCTGATTGCCCTATCCACATTTATGTCGTGGGGTGAAGAAATCCATACGGAAATTGGTTTTTAAGAAGTGTCGGATGACTGTCAAAAACAGAAAGCGATGGTCACACATATTTACTGCAAAGCCAGGAATAGCAATTTCTTATGATTTTAAATTGAAACAATGTTACAAAATATGTGCTCATGCATACAACATTTTGCGTGAGCAATTTTTATTGCTCGTCTTGCTCGCCCAAACCTAAATTTGCATGAGCAGTTATCTGCTCGCCATCAATTTATTCGTGGCCAGCCCTGGGTTAGTGTTAGGGTTTGGGTTATGGGTTAATGTCAGACGCCAAAGCGAAAACTGCTAAGTCCAGGTATCGGAGAACTGCGCATGTTAAACGGAAGCGTACGGCAAAATAGTAAATAAAGTAAGGCAAAATAGTAAATAAAGTAAAGTGTTGTATACGGTTAAATATCCACTGCCTAAGAAATAAGGCCTAAGAACACTGAATAAAGAGCTGTACTGATTTATGGGTCTGGTCTGGACAGAATTTCTTTTGTATAACTTATGATCACTCAGGATAGATCAGAAATGAGCTCTTAAAAGGTCTTATCAAATCAAACTTACTGGATGACAATTTGTTTTTTTTCCCATTACAACTGGAACCATTGGTATTTTTCAGAACATAACAAAAAACACTAATAATTGAAAGAAAAGAAATATATAATGGCAGCTCTTGGACAACAATGTGAAGCGGAACCGCCAACGTTTAAGGTAAATATAAAATAATTATGTTCATGTTTTGTTTAGCCGTTATTATTTATTATGTATTTACCCAGGACTCGAAATGTTTGGCGGTCTACTTGTCGCTGACCAAATTTATAGGTTATTCAGGTTCAATTGGCATGCGCCACGAATGTTTCCAACAGGTGCTAGGAATATTTTTACGACTGTGAATTCGGGGGAAAATTCGTGGATATTCTTGAGTATTTGTCACAACTGTCGTACAAGAGATTAAAATTATCAAAGTAATCAACAAAGACCCACAGTACTAGCGAGTTTTAATCTCACAGGTGATTTCTTTATAATCTTTTGTGGCTTCACGCCCATTGAGTTTTAATCGGGAAATAAATCGGGACATGAAAATGGTGTCAGATTTCACAGAGTGCCGGAGTGATCAGAGGTCGGATGTGACAGAGTGCACTGTACATGCGTGTTGTTTACATTAGTGAGATGAAGAAGCCTTTTGATTTTCAGCGATTTCTGATAATTACTGCCAGACTTATGACCCTTGATCACTTTGAAAAATCTTGTGGACGCTCTAGAGGCTAAAGTTAATATCCAATTGACTTTAAATTTATACACAGTGTTTAAGGTCATGAAACGAAGAAGCCTATTGATTTTCAACGATATCTGATAATTCCTGCCAGATTTATGGCCCTTGCTCACTTTGAAATATCTTGTGAATGCTCTAGAGGCTAAAGTTAATATTTCGATTGACTTTAGATTCATACACAGTATTTAAGGTCATGAGACGAACAAGAAACCTATAGATATTGATTTCCAACTATTTCCAATAATTACTGCTAGAGTTATGGCCCTTGATCACTTTGGAAAATCTTGTGGACGTTCTAGAAGGAAAAGTTAATCTGATGGACTTGATATTTATACACAGTATGTGATCATCCGATCTGTATGAAATTATATGCATTATTTAAATTAGTAAAACGAAAAAGCCTGTCAAATTTCAACAATTTCTGTAGACTACTTCCAGAGTTGAGGCCCTTGTTTCAGTTTGTAGATCCTTGTGAACCCTAAAAACGACAAAAATTATAATCTTATCTGTATGGAACTGTCTTGTAAAAGCCCCCAATTACCTACACAGGATTAAATATACGACACCCTTGTCAACCACTCGGACGATTTAGCTGCTGTGGGTCAGTGTATATTTCGTTGCCCTGCAACACATCTTCCCTTCTTTTTGTAAATCTGAGCAAAATACTTGCATTTATTGCACATAACGGCTTGTTGTCCAACTCTGTTACTGGTATGTACATTCTCCTCCGGTTCGTGAAATGTGGACGAAGTCCATGCAATTTGGGTGATGAAAATATTTATTTGCAGTTATTTCTGTGCACCAACCAATGTGTACAAAGTAACAGCCCTCTAAATTCATTAAACTGTTAGTCTTGAGTCTATACGTTCATGTTCACAAGTGAGATTATCCAATTCTGGGGCAAATAACTTATCTGAAACCGTTTCTCTATCAGATACTATACAAGATGAGAAGTATCATGTTGAGGAATGGTGGGGTCAAAGTCCACTGCTTGACATTCTGTCAAACACACGAAACAGTCACTAGCAAGCTGTTTATTGTTTTGTGATGTGTGCATTTGACACAACAGAACCCACATTGGTGTCTGAATTAGTTCTGTGCCTTTATTTTAAAGGTACTTATTAATTAAGCTTACTGCTAATGTCTTAAATTAACGTGATTGTAATTTCAGCTTGTTTTGGTTGGTGATGGAGGTGTTGGAAAAACAACTTTTGTTAAACGACATGTCACTGGAGAATTTGAAAAGAAATATGTTGGTATGTATGATCTATCTTGGTTATTTAATTGTTCAATTGTCAAGAATAATGAATTATAGCTGAAATGGTCTGATCTATTTCCTAACAAAATATTAGTGCAATCTTGGGGATGTTAAGTTAATAAACTCAGTTTTATTTCTTTTATTTAGCTACACTGGGAGTTGAAGTCCATCCATTGGTTTTTCATACAAATAGAGGTCCCATCAGATTTAATGTGTGGGATACAGCAGGACAGGAGAAATTTGGTGGCTTAAGAGATGGTTATTATATTCAAGGTATGTGATGTACTTTGTCGAAATAAAATAAAATATGGACCTTGACCTGATATATACTGAGCGCCATGGAAAATGCATCACTTAGTTTTTCGTATAAAAAAATGATCCTGTAAACATGTCTTATTTTGCTTCTTATTGTGAACAATATTCAAATGGGAATACATCAATAACAACACATTTGTACACTTATGGGTGTTTAATCTGTAATCAACGGTACAAAGTCAGAGGGGTCAAAACCAAAAGTACGACACAGGTGAGCTGCTTTGGGCGTATGTTTTGTTGTCTGGCAACCTATCTGGTAAATAGATTGATAAGGTTTTCTGAAAATATATGTAAGAATTTGGTACTGTAAACTAACATTAAAAAAATTAATCAATTTTAGGACAGTGTGCTGTAATTATGTTTGATGTAACGTCCAGAATCACATATAAAAATGTTCCCAACTGGCACAGAGATTTGGTTCGTGTTTGTGAAAATATTCCTATTGTATTATGCGGTAATAAAGTCGATATTAAGGATAGGAAGGTGAAAGCTAAAGCCATTGTTTTCCACAGAAAAAAAAATCTGCAGGTAAGAACTTGAGAAGTTTTAAGTTGTCAAATAATATTGTGTCCCAACTTTTGAAGAATTGAGGTAGACTATTGAAACTTGGGGATCACGTGGCTAAGTGGGTAAGACGCTAGCTCGCTAGCCTGGAGGTCGGGTGTTCGATCCCTGCATTGGCCGAGAAAGTTCATCCAGATTTTCCGGCGTGGTTCTCCCTTGTCAGTGATGCAGGACGGAGGAGCTGGCAAGGAAAGCTGTCTAGTCATTCGGATGGGACGAAAAACCGAGGTCCCGTGTACACATTGGCGTGCACGTAAAAGATCCCTCGGCAGTTGGAATTCGATATAAGAGTAGGCCGTAGTGCCGCTGTCCGGGCAAAATTTCCCTCATAGCACACTGTATGGCGTATGCCCGTCTTCATTAGCCCAGGTTAGGAGCAGAACAGTAGGACGTTAAACCCCATTTCATTTCATTTCATTTCTATTGAAACTTGATGTTGATGTTCCTTTGGGTGAATGGGGATCACGTGGCTAAGTTGGATGAGACAAAAAACGAGGTCCCGTGTATACATTGGAATGCACGTAAAAGATCCCTTGGCTCAGTTGGAATTCGATATAAGAGTAGGCGATAAGTGCCGCTGCCTGGGCAAAATTTCCCTCATAGCACACTGTATGACTTATGTCTGTCTTCATTAGCCCAGCATAGGAGCAGAACGGCAGGACGTTAAACCCCATTTCATTTCATTTCATTTCCGACTATGTGACGTTGAGTTTAAAAAAGGTTACAAATTGGGGGGAAAAAACACTTTCTTACAAAGCGAGCAATGGAGTTGACACCTAATTTTAAAAACCTGTGAGCAAAATTCTCCCCCATATCGATGCTGTATATAAAAATGACATGGTTAAGGGGGTGGACAGTAGAAAATTCCATTTTTTTTAAAAATTGGGGTAATGTTACTATATTGCACAAAGTAATCATATATGAAGCTCTGTTCCAAATTTGAATAAAATATTACCATAACTTTCCGAGATACTTCATGACTAAAATTGTTAATGGTAGAAAAAAACTCGTTTTGAGAAATCGACAACCAAAGTTTAAAGTATTTTATTAGAACAACCAACACCAATTTAATCAATTCATATAATTTATTTTAATAAGTTATCTTTTATTACCTATATTTTCTATGAGTATTTTTTATAAATATACAATATTTGAATTAATTTGACCCATTTTCATTGTCTATAATTGGTTTGTACATGTAGGTAACAATTTAGCTCATGCCAGCTCCATAGGTTTTGCCTTCTTTCTTTTTATTTTCAATTGATTTTCGCAAGGATTCTTTTTCTTTTTGTTTTCTGATGTTTTTGAATCTTTCAGAAGATTCATGAGCAGATTTTTTAAGTCGCTGGTTGTCCTTTTTTTGGCAAAAACGTTTTGCATTAGGGCCAGTACTGAGCGAAGCCCTATCCATAATATCAATTATAGTGGTTGACCCCTTATTGAATTCTAAAATTCCTCTAGCCACAGCATTTTGAATAGATATTAGTGAAGCGTTCTTGTGTTTGGGGGCCCTTGTCCAAATCACAGAGTTTAAACATTCATTGTTAATCTGTGTGCCACCCCGTAAACACCTCTTTAGAAGCTGAGGTGAACATAACCGCTCAAAGACTGGCTTGATGGCTTCCAGTACATATAAAGGAAGTGGTGTTGTATGCTCACCTCTTACAGGAACTGCAATACCATCTGCGATCTGACGGTTATACCAACACCACGAATCACTGCCCTTTGGACAGTGATTGTGATGTGGCTTACCATCATCGAGATAATGAAAAAATATTGACCATGTGACATTTATCATACCGGACAAATCGTGTACATGATCTTTTATGGCTCTACCATAATAATTTTGCATGGCAACTACTCTTTCCTTAGTAAGTCTTCCCTTACCATCAATTGGGCAACCTTTGGCTTTATTTTTTTGGACAATATTTTCCAAATTGTTCCTCATTCGTTTACTAACATGGTTAATACAGTCCTCGTTTTCGACTGGATATTGAAAACTGAGCTATCACCATCATTTAAAAGTGTTGTGTATCTAAAACCAAATTTCTCAATAGATCTTTGAAACATTTTCAAGGTGGCAGCAGTTTCCATACTCTTTGCGGAGCCATGATGATTTATTTGACAGACTGGTCTGTGAGCGGTATACCAAGTTACATATTCCTCGGAAGATCTGTCCATTTTGTTTTGTGAACATAATGTGCAGAAATTTGACAACCTCAGAATCGATAACTAAATTTGTTAATAAATCAACAATAGCCACTACTCCGTAATGAGAACTGAAACCTCTTTTGTGCCACGTGCCGTCACTTGAAACAGCAATATTTTTAATTTTATCATGAGCTATACAAGGATCAGATTGACCATATGCAAGATGTATTTTTTGTTTCACATCTTCAAGATGATGGTCAAGGGTGGAGAGGCTAGCTTCCCCTATGGCTTTAGTATGCTTACTAAAAGCTTCTTTCTCCAAAGAAGATGGAAAATCCATGACTTGGCAAATGTGTCAAGAGAGCTCTTCCCAAGCCCCATCTCCTTCATGGCGAGAACAGCTCTCCTGTTGACGAGAGGAGCACCCTTCTTTTCAGTTTAAGGGGAAGTGGGTACTTGACCCAGCGATTGCTCGCAAATACTGCAATATAAATTAAATATGCTTGAAAGGCCAATAAAATTATCCTCATGTAAAACAACATTACTGCTGTGACATGTAGGACAGCATAAGTTTGAAATTAAGGACTGCAAGAAGTCAGTGCTTAGAATCCTGAATCCAAATGAACCAGGCATAGACCTAGTTATAGTACTACTAGTAGTACTAGTAGAAACATCATCTACAGATGAACTGGTATCAAAATCAAAGTGACTAAATTTTTTGGCAGTAGGCGATATAACAATATTGTTATTATCAACCTGATTATTTATATTTAAATTCGTCGCCGTGTGTAAATTTACACGTGAACTATTAATAGTATTACTACCTGTGCTGGTACTAGGTGTAGATCTAGCAGTAGCACTAGCAGACGAATTTTCATCATCATTCAGTATATTATTATTTATGAATGAAACTGTGTCATTTGGCCTTCCTTGTGACACTGTAGATGTTCTCTGACGCCGTCTACCAAACTTATTTAGTGATCTAAATTTTTTCAAAGGCATTTTATATGAAATTCTGTAGAAATATCGATAAACAATCACGTAAAGTGATCAATAATATAGTGATAGCCACGAGGACGGATATCTATGGCATTGGCTTAATGCGCATGCGTGATCGCCTGACCTGGAGGGTTGCTGGTTTCTGATTGGACAAACCAACACCCGACCTTCCTGACTGACCAATCATATAACGTGGTCTAAAAATAACCTTATTAGGTATTCAAAACCAGTTCTGACAGGTAAAGGGTGGTATGCTATTTTTATCTCTATGTGAGGGAAAGGTTTCGAGGTACCCCAAAAAAACGTCATTTCCTTTCAATACGGGAAGTCCCAAGCTTTATAACGGTATCAAACATGGCGGATGTTTACAATTCGGAAGCCGAGTATTTCGCGTGTGAAGTGCCTATTGTTTTTAAACTTATATCAATAATTTTTATGGAAATCGGGTGAAATAGAAAGGAGAGAGATCATTCAGAACCAAATTTTGTGGAAATATACAAGAATTTTTTGAAAAAAATGACTGATATGTGTTCTTAGATAGTGTATGTGACAGAAAATCATGAAACCTCCAAATCGATTTTTATTATGAAATTCAATATATGATGTGCGAACGACGGCCTTAAATAACATGCATTTTAATGACATAATAAAGGTATTCTATTCAGTTTCCTCTTTTTGTAAAAGAGAAATAACATTCAAATTTTGTTTACATTTTCAGTACTATGATATTAGTGCCAAGAGCAACTATAACTTTGAGAAGCCGTTCTTGTGGTTGGCAAAGAAACTGGTTGGTGATGTAGATTTAGTTTTTGTAGCTATGCCAGCTTTGAAACCCCCAGATGTTGCCATGGATGCTGCTCAAATGAAAAAATATGAAGATGAACTTAAAGTGAGTTTAAACATCAAAACATATACTAAACAGCAAAAAAAACGTCAGTACGATTTTAAAATCAGGGAGGCACTTTAATCAAATCATTCTAGAAAATGACTTACTAAATGGATCAAAGCAATTTTTTGTGAACAGTATGTTGACACATTAGTGATTAATTCATCACAGTTTCAAGACATTACGAGAAGGGTTAGAGTCTGTACACAGTCTATACATTAGTATCTGGTGCGTCCACCGCAAGTGTCAATAACAGCAGCGCAGCGTCTGTACATGGAGTGGACCAGACGATTGATGGAAGCCATTGGCACCTGAAACCACATTTTCAGAAAAGCCTGGCTCAATCCATTGGCTTTGTTTGGTCTTGGTACGATTTCATTAAGTCTCCACTGAATTTCATCCCAAAGATGTCCAATCGGGTTTAAGTCCGGACTAAGGGATGGCCAGTGCATATCGTTGACAATGTTCTGCTATAGAAAGTCCTGAGTACCTCTAGCGGTGTGGGCGCAGGCGTTGTCATGCTGGAAAACGTTGATTTGATGACGTGGGATCTTGAGAGCTTATCGATGTAGTGCACTGCTGTGATGCCGCATTCTCTCCCTGGACCAAGATTTTGAAACCCCACAGGACCCAGTCTCTGGTTCAGGCCGATTCCACCCCAAACCATTATGCTTGGACCTCCCCATGAGTCTCGTTCCCATGCTGCACGCAGCGATCCATCTACGCCATACTTCGAGAATAGATCACTGCCCTAAATGCCGTCCATTTAAAACGCTCACGTGATCATTTTGGGGCAGGACTTATCGACTGGACTACTGCTTTGTATACACAACAGAATAAAAATAAACCGAAGCACATGTTTTATGTAAACACGAATGTCAAGTTGACAAAATGCCAACTTCTGCCACTCCAGTAAAAGCGATATATAATATGTGCGAGTGGGTAATATTGCAATACAGTCTTTACCATTGTAAACTGTCTTTAGTGTTTCAATCTGTTTATCTTTCAAAACAAGGTTAAATACTCCTAAATTTGTCCTGCAAACAAAACCGCCTCGGTGAAATTATCTTTCATGGGCGCCGCCATATTGAATAATTAGAGGACTATTTTGTGATTTGGCTCTGATTAGTTCGACACAAAGGCTAAATAAAAGCTAAATAAACATTCATTCAATATAACAGAAGAGAAATAAATACTTCTAAAATTTTCTAAAAGTATACTCTGTGTTTTCGACTAAAATCCTTGAGGTAGGAATTAAAATGTCGGTTAATTAGGTTAGGGCCTGTTCACAGCGGAGCTAGCTGTAGACAGGCTGCCTAAGTTTGGATGTATAATATAGCAGTTTAGGGAATCGGGGGTCAACTAAAACTAATGACAATTGCATTATGCGAGAGAACCAGTAAGATTAATCCGTTGACATTGTTGTATTGATTTGTATAATTTTATTTACAGGAAGCCCAAGGAACAGCTCTACCAGATGACGATGAAGATCTTTAAGTATAGGCTATATAACAAATTAAAATTGCAAATAAATCACTTGAACTTCTTTTTTTCACCAATAGCAAGAGAAACTTAACACCAGGCAATGTGTGTACAAACTTCTTATTGAAAAGATCTTGAAAACAATCCAAGTCGTACAAGTAGATGTTCATGTGCGTGTATAAACAAGTCAAAAACAATAAATAATTGTACCGTTGACAATTGGAACAAGGAAATCTTGACTCGTTTAATTATTTTATGGGTATGTGTTGAAGACAAGCTGTGAGTTCTTCTTTTATCCCATCTGAGATGGTTTGACAATGATGGTTAAATACAGAATCTTGAAAATTGGTGAATATTTAGTGCTTCACTTACTGTTGTGATTTCAGTGAATTCATAACTTCAGGAGAAAGGACATTTGAATCTGGTGCAATTGTGTTTTTTTTTTCCTGAGATTTTTATTACAAAAACCTGTCTTAATAAGTCATGACTTCGGGGAACATTTTTACAAGTGGAAGTAATTTGAATATTGTGAACATCCTATTAAAGCAATCAATGTCATGACTTAGTTTTGTTAAATTTTGTACTAAAATTGCTTCAATTAAACTTGTATGATTGGGAATTAATGCAGTGTATTGTATTTAAGAATTATAAATAAAGTTGCTCTTGTAAATTTAAATGGACAGTTTAACTTATTCTTTTTTGACAAGTATTTTGAGGAGTAATAAGAGCATTTGAGGACAATATTAAAGCTGAATTCCCGATTACAAAACTACAGAAATAATTATATAAGAAAAAAGTTTAAGCCTAACTATCGCCATACTTGTTTTCAATTTGTAGAAAAAACATGGCGATTGCTTACTGCGTACAAAAAAGAGGCAGGCCACAATATACTTTTGCTCTAAAAATAAGAAACTGTCTTACCCCAAAACAATAACACTGTCAACGCTAACCAGTTCTTTGTGGATATAGCATCAAGGGACCATCATAAATAACAAGATGGTGACTATTTTGAAGTGAAAACTCCTTATTTGATGGAGAGAACAAGTTATATTGCTGCTTTGGGTATAATTTGGAACGATAATACTTGACTTTATGATGCAGAAAGTTATTTGGTGTTTCTACCTTGTAGTTGAAAACATTTCACAAACTAAGAAAAAATGGGTTGGTGTTGGTAAATTTGTTATTGTTTGGGGTTAGACAGTTTTATTTCATCTAATTTATAAAATATATACCTGATCAGACATAATAATGGTGTAGCAGTATTTAAGTAAGCTGTTGGTGAAAAAACATGGTCAGGAGGTAGTTGACTACTAGCTGGATGTGGACACTGCTTGACATGGCATATACTGGATGTGAGCGTGGCCTGCCTCTGCTTTTGTGTGTCGTAAATTGAAAAGAGTGTGGCGATTGTTTAGGGTGCTAACTTTTTTTTATTTAATTATTTTTGTAGTTTTGTAATCTAAGTTCAGCTTTTAATGTTGTGAGAAATTTACATTTTTCGCAGATGCTGTAGCTGATGATGCTTGTATGTTTTGTTACCTAGCCCCGAGTTCACAAAGCATTCTCAGACTTCAGTTGAGAATTTACTCAAAACTGTTCGCCTCATTTTAACTAAAATATAGCCTTTTTAAAAACTTTTGATGTATCAAATACATCAATAAACCCTGCATAAGTCGGATCTTTGCTGAACTAGGATAAAATTGTTTGGACCCTTTGATCCTGCACGTTTTTCTTATCAATTTTCGCTTCTGGTTCTTCCCGATATTAACATTTCCACTCCCCCCGTCTTTTCGAACAAAGCAGGGGACTATTAAAGTAGCTAAGTCTCTAACTCAATAGCGTTCAAAATCTTCGACATTGAAAACACAAATTATTTAAATCAACAATGATGTTGCAATCTTATGGGGAAAATATGGGCTTCTGATATTCAATATTTAAAACAAAATAAACATTTTACCATTAGTACACGAATCGTGTACCATATTGCATTTCAGTGCCATTTGTAACAAGGGACTCGAAGGACGAGGCTTGATATATTCCACAAGTCGTGTCAAGCAGTGACTTCATATTCTTATCTGGAGAGCATGTACAATAAATAGTATACTAACGGTGTAGACTGGAATAACCAGATGCTAGAGGTTGCCATACGATTGAAATTGAGTATAAACGGAAACGATTGAATGTAAATCAGTTTATATACATTCATATTACATTATTATGTCACACTTTTTGGGACATAACTATCCTAACTGAGCTAGACTGTTAAAACTTGGTGGGTGTTGATTAGGTCATTGCCCTGATGGGAGTTCGAAGATGAGCATTTTCTGCATAGGGTAAGCAGATATAAGCAATTTGATTGGTTCATGCTCTGGGACACAATAACTTTAGTTCTAATTAAGTGAAAGTGATGAAACTTGTATAGTTTCGATTCATCAATGCCTTGACTAAGTTCGATAATGTGCATTTTCTGCTAAGGATAACCAGAGCGATAAGCAACTTGATTGATCGAGACTTTGGAACACAATAACTCTCCTAATTGAGGTAGAATGTTCAAACTTGGTGTAGGCATTCAATGAATGTCTTTACTGAGTTCAAGGATTAACATTTCCCACTAAGGCTAAGCAGGCAGAGCTAAACAATTTCATTAGTTGATGTTTGGGACAAGATAACTTTGATTCTAACCGATAGAGAGTGATGAAACTTAATATACAGTTGAGTGATGAAAATTAATATACAGTTGATAATTGAATAAGTTTGATTGCTTGATACTTTAGAAAAAGATAAATGTTCAATTAATTAATTAAATATCTAATCTATTTATTTGGGGGGATTTTGGCGGTGGACATCAGCCTCACTGTGGGTTTGTTCTTTTTATACATACCTTACTGGTCGTCGGATGATAAATTTAGCTGTTAAATTCAAGTTATCGGGAATCTTTAGGATTCACATGATACAGACACTATATAAAACAATCAGATTTCAAGTGTCTGTTTATAAAAATTTTCTACGGTGATCAAGGGCCATAATTCTGGCTGTGTTTATTGGAAATGTTAAAAGAAAATCAAGTTGGATGACCGTTAGAGCATCAACAAGATTTGTTCAAAGTGAAGGAACTTAACTCAGGCAGTAATTATCACTTTAGCCTCTCAAGAGTCAACAAGTTATTCTGGATGATTGACCGGGTTGAAACAATATAGGAGCAAATTTCAAGGTGGGTATATAAAAGATCTATTTTTGGAGGTTAAAATTATTCTATATAAAGAAGTTAAATGAAAAGCATATTCAGTGTATTAAAATTTTACTAACAAACAAAATTATGAATAAAAGTAATATACAGTACACATGGACATTTTAAATACAATCTGTTTGCAAATATATATATATATGATTACAATTTAATAATTATTGATACTTAACACTATAGGGATGATCCCCACCCTCCTGTAGGATCCACATTTTCATCTTTTGAAATGATGTTACACGGAAAACGTAAACTCTGTACCAATTGAGCTCGTGTAAATGATTAGTAGGCTACCTTTTATTGGATGCAATGAAAACGCACCACTTTTAAAAATAGATAATCGTAAATCTTGTTAGAGAATAGCTGCTTTAAATAGCTTAGGTCAGTACAACTCTTACAGTTTTGTAAATGAGACAAGGATATGCCAAGGTTGATACCTGAACACACCATTGCATTAATTGAAGTAGGCATGAGTACAAGAGCTACATGTAATAAAACAGCGCATTGCAGCAAGAATGGAGAAGGGTCCCCCAGGCAGCAGTGCAGAGATTTATCTCCACCAAGCAGCAATATTGTATGGCTTCTTTTTCTCCCCCCTCTGATTGCCTATCTGGCTGTGAAGTGAAGAGGTTATAGCTGCTGTTTGTAAATTACTATGAATATGTTGATCAAATCGGTTTGGACGTGCGAAGGCATCTTTTAATTAATCATGTCTTCTTAAATATATGAACAAAATCAACAGATCTCACAGTCAAAAAAACAGAACACAATTTATATGGAATACACAATCACTGGTTTATACACATATAGCACGACGTTTCGACAACTATTCTCTTATTGTTATCAAGTACAATTGTACTTGATAACGATAAGAGAATACTTGTTGAAACGTCGTGCTATATGTGTATAAACCAGTGATTGCATTCCATATAAATTGTGTTCTGTTTTTTAATGTGCTCAATCACTAAATGCCACTCAAGGATTATGATCTCACAGTTGTTAATAACTGTTTAAGCATTGTGAATTCAAAAGCATGGTTAATTTCCATTTTGAAAAAGCAACTTATTTTAGTACAACTTTCAGCTGAAAAGTTAAGTGATGTTGTACATTAAAGATATAATAGATAGATTGATAGGCACAATTAACTTCTGTTAATCCAAGCTAGTCTTCAGAGTATAACACCTTTTGATTACACGCCGACAGTTAAATTACTTGAGTAGAGGTTACTGTATATAGATCATTTCAATATTTATACAGTGTCCATACTAATTAAATTTCTTCTGTTAATCCAAGCTAATCTTGGGAGTATAACACCTTTTGATTACACACTGACAGTTGAATTACTCAAGTAGAGGTTACTATATTGATTAAATTATTATTTATACTGTGTTTATACTAATTAAATTTCTACTAATAGAGCTGCTATTTTCGAAAACCACTGATGCTATGATCGATTGGGTACAGAATGATCAATTATTTAAAATAAGTATTATCGGTACATAAATACATAGATTGGGACATCATAGATTGGGGTTAGGGCCTGTTTCTACCTGGGCTATTTTTAATTTTCACTTGTTGTTAAAATTCATAAACAATCTAGTCCCAATGCTCTATGGTTTTCAACGAAATGGAAAATATTTTCTGGTTGCTTTTCTGCACATGGTTGTATCCAATTTTGAATGGTTACGATTGCCACAAAAAGAATGAACAAAAGTTTAATGCTTCTCGATAATTTTCATATTTAATTTATGTACCAGCTGTAAGTTCATGTCAAAAATATTCCTGAATAAATTATATCTTTAGGGCACTGGGTTTGACAGGTTCTGTGCACCAATTCTTTATTTAATATGCGTATGGAGCAGCCTTTCCCATCACTGAATGGCATTTTTTTTTTTTTTTGTTGTCTGCAAACTGGACATTTTTTTTGAGGAAGCCCCACCCCCTCTATAACCCTGTTACACCTGGTCACGACAAGCGTGCCATTCTAGGCACTGTACCAGGCTAGTATAAATTTCAAGAAATTGACCCATTTACATTACTCTACAATAACCGTCTCGGAACTGTGCCAAGCATGCCAAATGTGGAACTCTTCACTGGAAAGTTAATCTCAGTCCCTATTCAAATTACTCCGATGAAAACAATGATGACAGTTGATTTAGCCAGGGCAGCCATTTTGACAGAACTATCAAAGTTCACAGGAAAAAAGGTCATGGTTCATTTGGTGCATGCTCAGTAATTCTGTTTACACTACAAGTAAATTAACCCTGGAACACTTAAAATTTGTAATGTAAACAGGGTTTATAGTACAGATACTCAGGGATTCTTGACTCAAGTGAATGTAAATCTTCAGCTTTCATAATCCCTTCTGTTGTTTCTTTTTACTTTTATTTAATTTAAAGAGATATTTCAATCTATTCCACACAGATATACACATATTTTCTAATCTTTTATCTCTAGTTCCATTTGTCTTTGCATACTGATACTCTTTCCTGCAAATATACAAGCATAAATCTGAAAACTTGATGTTAAGTTACCTGGGTATGCAGGTTGTTGGCTAAAGTGCTGTTTACACTATACAATCAATTCATACAACAGTTGGATGCAACATACTGGACGACTGTTTACACGATACAATGGTTCTATTCGTTGTATGGCAACCTTTATTCCTTCTTAGTAACACAATAATATGGCAGTAAGGCAACACTTCTCACCCCTGTCTTCGTGTAGTTTTGCTGCCGTGGGTTCCACAAAGTCCATATGTTTCGTATACAGAGTTATTAGATATTCTAATTCAGTCGTGGATAGGTCTAGACTGATGGTTGTATCGTGTAAATGCCGCTTTAGGCATATGGGGCGCCGTTTGTAAATTAATTATTTAGCTTTTTATATAGCAAAAAACACTAGATTTAATTTAAATTTATATATATAGTTAAATCTCGACTTTTGTGCAAATTTTTCACTTTTAATATTTAAACTAAAAATACAACAAAAACTCAATATTTAACATAATATATATAAATATTTCTTGATTTGTCTCTATTTTCATATTTAACATTTAGCATTGAATATTAAGACCAAAACGAGATTTGATGATATATAAATATTTAGCTAAATATTTAGTTAAATGTTTAAACATTTAGCTAAATATATATTTAGTTAAATGTTAAAATATTTAGTTAAACATTTATATATTTAGTTAAACATTTATATATTTAGCTAAATAATATATATTTAGCTAAATAATATATATTTAGCTAAATAATATATATTTAGCTAAATAATATATATTTAGCTAAAATAATATATATTTAGCTAAATATATATTATTTAGCTAAATATATATTATTTAGCTAAATATTAACTAAATAATTATATATTTAGCTAAACATATAGTTAAATTTACAAAGCGCAACCGTACCACGCCGTTTGTAAAATAATTATTGTTCGTGGTCAGCTTCCATTTCTAATTGCCAGTAGGCCTATTGTGCCAAGGCTCACGTGTCACTAGAAATATTGGCGGGACCACAAATATATATTTAGTTAAATATTTATACATTTAGCTAAACATATATATTTAGCATGATATTTATATATTTAGTTAATTGTTTATATAGTTAACTAAATATATATATTTAGTTAAATGTTTATATATTTAGTTAAATGTTTATATATTTAGCTAAATGTTTATACATTTAGCTAAATGTTTATATATTTAGCTAAATGTTTATATATTTAGCTAAATGTTTATATATTTAGCTAAATGTTTATATATTTAGCTAAATGTTTATATATTTAGCTAAATATTTAACTTTAGATTTTTCAGTGATTTAGTATTTAGCATTTATACCTACGAAAAACAGCACATTTAGCTATATATTTAACTAAGCGATGTGAAATCAAGATATAACATTTAAAGTTTTTCATAGACCAAAAACTTGACTTTTAGCAACAATATTTTTTGATATTTACATATGCCATTTTTGTTCTAATGGGGTGTCTCTGTCACAACAAAAGGTCAGACAACAAAAATACTCACCAAACAATTCGTTTACACAGATGAAGATGTCCCTGTTGTAGAAGACTTTGAGCCCAGAAGACACGACATTTAGAAGCCATGACAGGATCTGACATCTCCATAGCTAATTTTAACTGACGAATGGAAATTTGTCCAGCCTTTTCTGCCTACAAATAAAATATGAAGATAGTGTACTGACTCTTTAAAGGAGCCAATTCTTTAACTCAATATTTTTCCAATCTGATTAAAACACAGATCTATATTTCGTTTCATTTTTGTATATTTTTGACGGCCTCTGCTACATGAAGATCTGACTGGTTGTAGTGGAAGGTCGCATCAGGGATCATACGAGCAGCCTTTGACCCTACAATGTCAGACATTTGATTAACCAATCAGCGTAATGTTTCTAGTGAGATACCCACAGTTCCGTGCACTTTACGCCAAGAACTCGCCATAACAGACTGTTTCATTGGCTAATCCCTCACATCAACCACAATGCAGGTTATACATGTATAACAACTCTCCCAGATCCTAGTGTAGTAAAGAGAAGTAAAACGAAATTTTGAACTGTAAAATATGAAACGAAATAGGATGTGTGTTTTAATCATATTGATATTTTCCTTAATATTCGAAATTAAAAACACGAAAGTAGAAATCAATATTGATCAATTTTAATCAATATTGATGTTATCTTACCGTGAAACTATAGGATCCTAATATCCAATATTTAAGACAGAATTAACATTTTATAATCAGTACACGAGTTGTGTACCCTATGGTTTTGGGTGCCATTTTGTAATGAACAAATAAAAACATATCCTACAACACAATGTGGAAGTAATTAGTAAAGGCTGATTCACAAACGATCAAATAATCGTTTTAAAAACGTGTAGAATGCACTAAGCCGGCATAAACGACAGCCGTTCTTCGATTAATTGATTAGAAATTACAATATTTTTTCAAAAATTAAAGATAAAACACTTTTCATACATTCATATTACCGGTACACTAATACATGCTTTTAGAACCATTTTTGTCTATTTCAAGGTTAAAAAAAATAAAGCTCTTTAAATGATGTTATTGAAATAATACAAGCATATTTAATCCTTTCTTGCATTGGATAAAGATGAAAATTTGACCTGTACCAGCCTTCTTTAAAAAATATTTGCAATGTACCAGTAGATCATCTTCTCACTTGTGACCCTCCTTATAACTATAGATAAGGTAGTCAGAGACTCCATGTATGTGTTGTATTGTCATTTGTTCAACTTTATTACCATAATTTGTACACAAATAACTGGTATAATAATATACTTACACAATGAGAGAAGTAGTCACCAAGAGATGAATAGCCTCCACCTAATGTAGATAACCAAGCCATAGATTCTTCTAACTGACATCGCTTGGCAACAAGATGCTGAATTCTTTGGCACCTAAAATATCATTGTGTCCTTAAAAATTTTTTATTTCTCTGTTCCTAAGAAATGTCAAAAATGTTGATTTTACTCCTCTAGGGAAGCAATAATGGAATAATTACACCTGAAATAGTGTGTTTAATATAGAAAGTAAAGTGTTTTTGAAAAGTACACAATTCCTTTTTCATTAGGAAATGGTCCCCAAGTGCTACTCATCTTGACCTTCTAGGGGCGATGCTCTTCAGGACCCCCCAAAAAAACAGATAAGGCTCCGCCAATTCAAGTATGATTGACATGAAACTTGGCATGCTTGTTCCTTGGACATCACAGTTCCAAAATGGTGACAATATAATACTATTGTACTTGTTTGCATCTATATCTATGTCAGATACCTGTATGACTGTTGGGCTGTTTTGACTAGTCCAATTAAATCCTTTGAATGTAGGCCTACAGTCTGAAATATAATGATACATTTCAAAATATTAAGAAACTTATATAAGCTTGTAGAAAGTGAATAACTGACAAAACACTTACCACATCATGTTTATTTTTTGTTTTGGCCATACTGATACAATATCAATACTGTAAGGTACATTGAGATAACCACACTCAAGTAGTTTTGTATTCCAGTGTGTTGAATCCGTTTCACAAAGAAATCCAAAATTTCGTTTGACATACATCAAAAATCTGTGTCGAAATATTCTGTCTTTTTTCACATATTGCGCCACACAGCAAGCTAAATGTGCATCCATTAATAAGACACATTTTTTATTTGGATTAACACACAAAAATACAGTTGTATCATCCTCATAAGTTCTGTTTTGGTTGTTGGAAAAAACTGACAGCAAGCCCTTGGCAACCTTGGCATTGTGAGTGACATCTAAATCAATATTATCTGCAATGTTCTTACAATGAACATGATTAGTTATTAAAGAATTCTTAACATGTTTTGTAGCAATTTGACAAGAATCACATGATGACTTCCCATCTATCTCAAAATGTTCAAAATTAAAAATCACTTTAACAGAACAGTCAAAAGTAACATTGGATAATTCTTTTGTATATATAAGACAATCATACATCTGATTAACAGAACGGAATGATATAATAATTTCTGCCATTTGGAAAACCCTATTGCCAGCATACACATATATGCTTGTGTATTAATTCATGTCATTATGAATAGGTTTCAAAATCTGGCCATACACTGATCTTTTTGTTCCTACTGTATCAATACAATTTGACGCTTCCAGTTAAACAGTTGTAACAGTGTTCATATAAACAGTAGTGCTTTCATTTCATAGATCTATTTCTGAAAAAGACAGATATAAAGTGCCATGTATATTCTATATGCAATAAGGAATAAGTCATAAAGCATAACTTGAAAGGGGCATCAGAACTTATAATTTTAGATTTGATGTGTGATCTGACAATACTATAATATTACTGCTGGGATGTTCAAATCAGAATACAAGCAAAATCTGTGACATATATGCCATGCCACCACTGGAGATATAGATGTTTTAACAGTCAAATTTTCAGCAGTTTAACGAATGTTGATGAAAAATATCTGTAGTTCGGCGCTTAGAAGTTAAGATTTTTGATAATCTATTTTGAATACAATATAAGCTTATTATTTAAAATTATGCTTTAAACTACATGGCATTTTTTTTTTAAGCCGTAGTCTTGCATCATAGGGCTATATATAGGGCAGGAGGATGATGTACCCAATTCCACCACCTCATTATTATATTGTGAATGTGAACAGAAAGAGAGAGAAATGGGGTTTAATGTCCACTCGACGCAAACCATTGTTCAATTTTATTTTAATAATTCGCTTGCGCGTAGGGGTCTTTAGTAGTGGGAGGAAACTGGAGGAACCAGAGAAAACCCATGAGGTTGGACAGGCAACCCTATTCCTTGTCACGTACAACCAGGGGATCAAAACAATGACAGACCTTGTGATACAGAGCGCACGCACTAACCATTCGGACATCCAACCCCCCAAATGTGAACAGTAAAGATAATTAATTTCTCTACCCTGAAACATAAATGTATATATCCGTTTTAGTACCCCAGGAGTAATTTGATTTCTAAATAAAAGATAGTTATGTTTCAATGATAATTTCTTGGGGATATCACTTCAGTGGAAGCGGACGTTAAATAAGCATTTCACATCAGAATGGATTTCTGTTAAGCAAATGTGTTCAAGTCAGTTAGTGTAGTATTACTATTACATCTGTATTCTGTCCAGATGGTTCCCCACTCTTGCCAGTGGTGCAGAACAGAGGGACAACACATGGTCGTTTGGATGGAATGAAAAACCAAGGTACCATCACAACTGGCATGACATTAAGATTTTGAAAAAAAGTATAGCTAGGCCTAGTTACTTTACTAATGGATTCTTATGGGACAGAGGCCAAAGTAATCCGTTACTATAAAGTAACCAAGCTAGGCCGTGGTAGCAAAGCTGCCCAGGCAAAATTTTCCTCATAGCACACTTTTAGCTACAAATCGTCGGTAGGCAGACGAAGTGACTTATCGTCAATAGGTACGGTATGAAGATAAGTCACTTCGTCTGCCTACCGACGAAATGTGTACTGTTAAACTGTGTTTAAAGCTACAATTGATACAGTCTAACACTCCTTACGCAAGTACAAATAGGTTCAGATGCACAATTGTCAACACATATCATTACAGTTTGTATTGAAATAAGTAATTCTATCACAAATAGTGAAGACGGAACCCCTAAAATAGTTATTGAACAGTTTTTCTTTGTGGTAATTATGCGTTCTTCATTTTCAAAACGACATTTCTTTTAATGTAAACCGCCATGACACCAGCCAGATGAAATCTCGCCAAATTTCGCTTAACAGTTGGGTTTCATCAAATCATATAAATTATGCGGTAAGACTTCACCTTTATTTCAATGGGAATTGGTTTATTATATGTTAAGCTATGAGCAGTACAGTTTGGGGTCAGTTTATGTGTAAATTAAGGGGTTATAGTTATTGGCTAGTAAACTTTTTGTAGTCATTTGACTAAAAAAAACTTGCGCAAAGTCGAACTCCGTAGGACAAGCCACTCTGGAGTAAGGCGGAAGACATCAGTAGTGGAACCATTTCTAAGCACACTGTATGCTCTTCATCATTAGCCCAGTTGGTACAAAGCAGTAGGAGGTTAAACCCTATTTCATTCCATTTTTATTTTCACTTCTGACTTCATCTTCAGTCATTCAAAATTTCATGTTATTTTTGGTTAATGTTATACCGTACTTCTACTTATCACACTAATCATAGTTCAGTTGATGATAAAAATCAACATTTTTCGGCTCAGAATTTCTGTGACTTGAATTAGAGAGCAATACCTGTAGGTTATTACACTGTATCTTTCGGTATCCAGTCCCATTTTCATCTCTGTAAAAAATGAAATGAACACGTTTTACTAAATTGCCCAGTTAAATAATTTAACGTTAATTCGGTCAATCACCCCGTAAAAATAGTCATTACGGAGTTATCTCCTCTTTTTTCGGCCTAAATCGTATTCGGCAAGAGTTAAAAACAAATCAGTAAATTATTAAATTTGTTTTGGAAACACCGAGTAAATAACAGATCTAGAATAATTATAATTTCATTAAAGATATTTTTCAAATAACCTACTTCACTAAGTTTTTAATCATAAAACATAAATTTCTGTTGCCCACATTTGCTGGAAAGCCGGTGTTGAAAGAAAACATTTCTGCAGTTAAATACAATGTAAATTATGTTCAAACATGGTGGACAGCGGGACTTTGTAATTTATTTTGCTTAATATTTACGGTTTATACTGTTGATGTTATTTAGTCGATCTCAATAAATAATACGGGTTTTATACCCCAGTATAGTGCTTCCAACATAAGGTCCAATCTGTCAAACCTTTCTCTTTTTCTGGACAGCTTTATACAGTAAGTTTGTGTTTGTTTTGTTTTTCATGTGTTGACTTGTTGAAGAAGTTGACAATTGAGTCATGTTGATTAACCTGAAATATGTACCACATTGAAAATAAATTTTTGAGGAAACCACATTATGTTTATCGTTGAAATAAATACATGATTTGACATGTAATATAGAAGGATTCAAAAGTGTTAAAAAAAATATGAAATAATTTCAATTTGTCTGAATAGTGAATACTGAAAACTGAACGATGTGAATGTAATTTAATAAAATGTTACAGTAGAGCCCTTTTTCCAGATAATAAAAAGGCCCAAGCTCTGCACTGTGTGGAAACAATTAGCGATCTAAAAGATGTTACTGGTCCAGATGCTGGTCATTTCTTGAATGACATGACAACGGCGAAACCATCCTTTTTTGACAGCTGTTTGTACAATATGAATAATATAGATCTAATAATAAAATAAGCAAGAGCATGTGATATTTGAGTAAAATTTGTTTGCTATTTTGTAAGTTAACATACCAGTATTCATTTTAGGTTAATTAATGAATGTTATTTGGTCAGAAAGTAAACCATGGAGGATCCAGAAGAAGATTCTGGGCACAAAGTTTCACATAATACTGATACAACAGCTCATGGTAAGTGGTTCTTAGCTGAAAAGTATTTTTTTTTCTGTCAGGGCCTCCACTTCAAAGTTTTCCCTATCGGTCATTTTTGATAACACAAGAAAACTTTGTGAATTTTAAAAATTCATGTCATGTGTTTTTTTATTTATGGTAGGGTATCCCGAATTCATGTGTCTATACCACTTTGCCATGGTGTACATAAAAAATTATATATTGGACTAGGAAATAAAATATTAGTAGGGTGTATAATAATTATTTATTAATGTAATATTCCCTTTTGGCTATTTAAATAGCTTTTATTATTGTAATTTCTTACTTACTGACCTTGAGAATTTGAGTTCTAATTGTTCTAATACAATAACATCGAAATGAGGATAAATATATGATTAACACAACATATTTCTCACAGCTAATGAAACTATCGCCCTGTATGGTTAGTTAATAAGACTCAGAGTAAACATATGTAATTATGTATACACAACGCGTGGATTATCAATATTGCTATAAAATAGCACTGTAGTCTGTAGTGTGTAATTTACGTTATTTTTCGGTAAGCAAGTTAAGCTAATTTCTTGCTTTCATATCTACAATTCCCACAAGACCATAATAATATTTACTGCTAGGTGTACATTTTCTAATGCATTGTTCTCCTTACACGTTGAGGATTGACAAAATTTCTATGCTATTTTTATTTAATATGACAGTTGGTTGGATTCGACAAGCTGTACATGTACTTAATATCTGATTGGCTTGTTTATCAAAAATTATAATAATCATGTTTACACAGTGTGTGACCGTAATAGAAGTATCGCAGCTTTATTCTAGAAAAATCTTATGACACTTGGACAATATGTGGGTGTTTAAATAGAGAATGACTAACAATGGACCTCTTCTCGTTATTGATAAGATTCCCAGCTAACAATTAATTATCGACACAACACATAAGATTATGTGGCTTCTATATGTGTGCAATATTCTGTATAGGCCATAGATGTTTATAGTTACATGGCAGCGGTCAATTGCAGCAATGTTTGAAAATTGAGTTTTGAAAAATATGCTATTTTCTGGCATGCAAAATGACAGATGGGTTAGATCCAGTTTCAATCATGTTACATAGCCCTCGTTTATAACCGGCATATACAGCCAACATGGAAACCTTGCTCTCGGTCCACCAAGAACTCTGAAAGTGGCCATAGTGTTCTTCCTGTTTTGTGGAATGGAAGGACATCATGTTGAACTACTTTGGTTGCCTCCACTGCAGTCAAAAAGTAGATTCATGCCATATAATGTGTATCTTCTTATCATATAAAATGGGTCCAGTGACTGATCAGTTCAGTGCCATAGCTTTTCGTAAGTATTAATTAAATTGCTGCAAATTGCAGTGCTTACAATTTTCATTAATAAACTCCCGAGATCAAGCTTTGGATAACAGAGATTGCTAAGGACTCACCAAAAGAAGTATATTTTGATCTGATACTAGATATCCTAACATCAAAATACTGTATGTTCCACAGTTTACCTTTCATAGAATCAAACCAAGGTACTTGAATATTATTATTAATGATTCAAAGTATCTAAATAAAAGAATATTTAAGCTTCTGAAGTTCAAATATGAACTAGATACATATGAGTCTCTCACTTTCTATATGTATTTCTTCATGCGTTAGATGGATTTTATGCAATAGTTTATGTCACTAGACAACTACAATTAAACATATATACACTTTCTATATCATGTTTTGGGTTTATTTACAATCTTCATACATTAGATATTTTCCTATGTTCATAGACACATCATTAGATATATTAGAACAACAACAAGCTAGAGAACAGGCAAGGTTACTGAATCGGTTTCGTGAATTACGAACATGGCAACAGCAACAACAAGAGCAGTTGATGATGCAACAGCAAGTGCAGTTAGAAATCTTGAGAGAAGAACAGCTTCGAGTACAAAACATGCTAAAATCCCAGAGACAACAACAGTGGGGTGCTGGAAGAGGTATTCTGTGTTTTCTTGAATTAGAAAGTTATTATTGTATTAACAGATTTCTGTGATTTATGTCATTAAAGTTTTTTATAGTAGAGTTCATAAGTAGCTTTAATCCATGGCATTCAACTTACAGAGAAAATACTTCATGATGGGGCACTCTCAAAAGGCTGCATGGTAAAATACAAGTGCTGAGCGTTTTATTCTGTTCTATTTGGTGTCGGCTAAGTCATTATTGGCATATTGCAAGTCATACAATTTATTAATTGGACATTTTCCATATAATTACATGTTGTGAGACATTGAATAGAAAAACTGGTCCAAATAAAAATATACCTAGTAATTAGTAGTTTCGAAATTTTAGTGAAAATTGGTACATGTACATATCCTGGACTTAGTAAATCTCCAACTAAAACATCTCCCACATCCAAACAACATGGTGGTGTTTCTAATCTAGTCAGTACCATGGTACCACATCAAATGGGATCTCAACAGGTATGATTCTTTATTATTTCCATTAACTTCCTTTGGAAGGCCAACTCCATTTCTTCAAATGATATGTGATATCCAATGTTATGACTTTCTTCAGTGGAATTTTTGATAGACACCTTTTTTTATTAGAATGTTTTCAGGACTCAAGCTTTGAGTCCAAATTTGCTTTTTCATGCATGGACAGATGTGTTGACTGTGTACATGTACCTCTAACCTAAATCTTTCTGTTAAAAACAAATATTTTTTAATTTAGCCGTTTAGTGCATATCTATCTACGTATATTTCTTTAAAATTATTCAGATGATTTTTCTCTTGGAGTTTGAATACTTTATTCTTTCCTATTCAGCAGAATGCTCTACCTAAACCTGTTATATATGACGATCCAACAGAATTAGAGGGAGATAACTACACAAATCCAGATTTATTCAGCAACCCTGGATCTAGTGATCAACTTGAAGATGGTGTTTATAATGCTTATGACACTGGGTCAGAAATCAGTGATCCCTCATCTGCTCAGAAGTTGACTCTTCAAACATTGCTTCGATCTGCCTCACCAGAGACACTTAAAGCTATGCTTTCAATGATACCTCGTTCAAGACTTCTGGAAAGTAATGCAGAGTTGTCTCCCCGAGGTAAAATAATAGAGGCAGTAAATGGCATCTCACCAAGGTCTAAAGCTAGGGATAAACATTTGGGTATGTCACCTAAAGTGAGGGAGATAACTCTATCTCCTAGAGCTAGACTTAATAAATCTCCATCTCCACGTTCAAGTGGAAGTGTAATTGTTGAGTTAGAAAGAAGGGGTCTGCCTGTGAATGGTTCTGGAGATCAAAATGGTCAATATGTGAAAGAACCATTTCTTCAAGAATGGGACAAGAAACTTGATACTATGGACCCTAAATTACCTCAAGATGTGAAAAGGCATTTATTTTGTGATGAAGATAATTATTCTGTGGATAGTGAAATAGTTGGGGCATTAGAGAAAATGAACAATAACCATAGATCGAATAGCAAACAGGCTTCTCAAGGGACATCGGTTCAACCACACAAATCTGATTCACCAGATGAAAAAGTTGATGATGAAACCAGTGCTGATAATTTTGATCAGGTTTGTCATTTTTTGTTGTCTGGTACTTCTGGGTTCTAGGGGGCTGGTGAATAAATGAACCATAGCATGCTGCAGATGGTCTATCATTGAATCATCTGGCATGGTTTCTATTCCCCAGTTGTACGTGACGAGGAGTAGGGTCGCCTGTCCAACCTTGTGGGTTTTCCGGTTTTCTCACACTGCTAAAAAACCCTACGCACAGGCAAGTTATTGGAAAAAAATTGAACCACATGTTAGTCCCAAAATGACCTAGTTTGTGTCAAATGGACGTTACACCCCCCCCCCCCCCTTCCTCTTTCTCTCCCTCTCTCTCTCATATCACTTTTGTGCCTGCTTGCATGTGAATCAGTTTAATAAAGAATTGCCACATGTTACTCTTGTAATCAATCGGATTAAAATACAGATCTATATTTCTTTTCTTTTTTTTATACTTTTGTTGGCCTCTATTACATGAAGATCTGACCAGTTGTAGTGGCAGGTCATGTCAGGGGTCAAACGAATGGCTTTTGAACCTATGACGTTAGACATTTGATTAACCAATTGGCTTTGATGTTTCTAGTAGTAGTAGGATACCCGTCTTCATTAGCCCAGTCGGAGCAGAGCAGTAGGACGTTAAATCCCATTTCATTTCATTACTAGTAGGACACCACAGGTCTGTGAATCGCATGCCAAGAACTCGCTGCCACAGACCATTTCATTGGCTAATCCCTCACATCAACTAGAATGCAGGTTATACATTACATGTATAACAACTATTCCAGGTCCTAATGTGGTAAAGACAAGTAAAACAAAATTTTTTGAACTATAAAACCCGAAACAAAATGGGATCTGTGTTTTAATCAGATTGTCTTGTAATCAGTTTTGAGCACGGACTTAAACCTGTTTCTTCTAGTTTCATTTTTTTACAAAGTGGCATGTTGCTCAAGTTTGATTTTGTAATTATATATATTCTTATATAGGTAATTGATTAAGCTTATTAAAACTTATATTATAAGTATAATCTTTTTTAGACCAAGCTTGATTTTGTAATAGATGATCGACCAATCAAACCTGGTTTAGCTGGGAAGAAAACTTTTGAACAATTGTTGGAAGAACAGTTGAAAGCAGAAGAAGTAAAAGTAAGCATAATAATTTTTAACTTGAGATGAATTTATTTATTTATTAGTTACTGATATTTCTCCAAATTATATAGAAATATAAAAAAAAAACTAGTTTGTAACATTTTAAAAGAATTATTCAGATTTTTTTGTATTTAGATTTTAGCTGAAGAAGCAGATGTGGTTGAATCTCCAAAAGACAAGAAAAAGCCATTTTTAAAAAGGGGTCAAGGTTTGGCAAGATTTACAAGTAGTAAATCTGCAAGAGAAACAAAAAAATTAAATAAACCAGAAACAAAACCTAAACAACCAGAAAGTAAACTGAAACAACCAGAAAGTAAACCAAAACAACCAGAAACAAAACCTAAACAGGCAGAGAAACCAGCTGCTAAAGATGGTAAACGAAAATATGAGGTAAATTGAAATGAAATGGGGTTTAACATCCTACAATTCTGAACCAACTGGGATATTGAAGATGGGTATACACCATACTGTATGCTCTGAGATAAATTTTGCCCAGACAGCGGCACTTCGACAGTGTTAACTCCAAAACCATTTGACATGAAATTTAAACATGTTTTGTTAGCGTGGTCTATCAGTGAGATCAAACACATCTCAACTTATAGCATATTGTAGGTCACTTTTTATAAACATGGATACCATTGAACCTGTTTGTCCCTTTGATTTTCAAGAATCATTAGAAATTGTATATAATAGCAAAATGAAAAGGAAATGGTCATTTCAATCCTTCGCTAAGCCAAGCTAGTCATCATCACCAGAAGAATAAATCGGCTAGATTATCATTCACAGGGTCAGGAAATGATAAATATTTCTGTTTAAATTTAGGAAACCAGTAATATTATTTCAGTATTTATTTTTTTATTTCTTTTAGCCACCAAATGGTCCTCTTTCAAATACAGCAAAATCTAACCAAGTATCAAAGCCAGCATGCCTTAAATCAAAATCCAACCAATCAGTGCCAAAGACTGTCTCCAGCCAATCAACAAATCCTTTAGTTCCATCTCAGACATTAAAGCTAAATCCAAGTAAAGTGTTTCCCAAACCTCAATCTAGCTCATCAAAACCAGTCATCCCTCAAACATCTAATGCAGCGTCCAGTGTGCAACCAACATTAAATGCTGCTCATGACTCATCTGATCCTCGATCTCAGTCAAACACAGCCTTGTTTAAAGTTCCTGTAATTCCTGCTCAAAACAAAGAAGTGACATCATCTGATAATAAATTAGTAGATTTTGATCCATTTGATGATGATTCATCGTTTGCTGCTGGTGTGAGAGAAAGAATAGCTAATGAAGGGGTAAGACATATTTGTCATTGAGGAATGATTTAATCAGCATTTATTTTTGTTAATCTTTATATATCTTCATAATTCAAATAATTGTCCCCCCGCATTACGAAGAAAGCAGGGGACTATTAAAATGGGTCTGTCCGTCCTTCCGCCACACTTTTTGGGACACAATAACTCTCCTTGTAATAGAGTTAGAATGTTCAAACTTGGTGTAGTGTTTATTAGGTCAATACCTTGATTAACATTTCAAGCTAAAGCTAAGCAGAGCTAAGCAATTTCATTGGTCGATGCTTTGGGACAAGATAACTTTGATTCTACCTGATATAGAAAGTGATGAAACTTAGTGTATAGTTGATAATCAGTTTGATTGCTTGATACTTTTGAAAAAAATAAATGTGCGATTAATTAATATATGTCATCTATTTATTTGGGGATTTCGGCGAGGGACATCAGCCTCACTGTTGGCTTGCAATAATATAATCAATAACTCAAAGCCTTTTATTGATCAATAATAGTAAGGTTTTCTGTCATGTTTAAAGATTTGAGGTCATGAAAAATCATATAATAATAGCTATGTTACGTTAGGCAAGTGTATAAAAAGAGGCCTTACTTTTTTCTTGAAATTTCATTTCAGAAAGAACAAGAAGAATTGGATGAATTTGAATTATTAGAAGATTTTGCTGACAATGCTTCATTTTGTTCTAATTCTTCTATTGTTTCTAAATTATTACAAGCAGATCAGAAGAAACAGAGTGGGGTAAGTTCTACTAGAAATGAAATGAAATGGGGTTTAATGTCCTACTGTTCTGCTCCTAACCTGGGCTAATGAAGACGGGCATATGCCATACAGTGTGCTATGAGGGAAATTTTGCCCGTGCAGCGGCGCTACGGCCTACTCTTATATATATCGAAATCCAACTGCCAAGGGATCTTTTACTTGCACGCCAATGTGTACACAGGACCTCGGTTTTTCGTCCATCCGAACGACTAGACAGCTGTCCTTGTCAGGCCCTCCATCCTGCATCACTGACAAGGGGAAACCACAACGGAAAATCTGAATGAACTTTCTCGGCCAAAGCAGGGATCGAATACCCGACCTCCAGGCTAGCGAGCCAGCGTCTTATCCACTTAGCCACGTGATCCCCCCAGTTCTAGTAGAAGTAGAAATGCCATTAGAAGTAGAAATGCCATGTATATTGAGATCAGGACCCGAGTTCACAAAGCATTCTCAGACTTAAGTTAAGAATTTGCTCAACTTTCAATCACTGTTTATGAGAAATATCTTTGATGCAGAAACACAAAACTTTGCACATAGTTTCCCATTGATGTGTTTGATACATTAAAACAACAGAATTATTATAAAGGGCTATATTGTAGTTAAAACAAGGCGAACATTTTTGAGTAAATTCTCAACTTAAGTCTGAGAATGCTTTGTGGACTTGGGGCCTGATCTTAGATCCTTTCTGATGAATATTATCAGCTAAGAATATAATGATAAATAATGATAATAATGCCTTGGTTACTTGGTAGAGTTTCAGAAATGTGCTGCCAATCGGTGCAATTACATATGTATATAACACTTTCTCAAAAAGTAATTGTGCACATTACAGACATCAACAAACAAATCTGAACAAAACTGACCACTTTATAATTTTACATATAACTTATCTCTAGTGTGATTAGTGTAATTATAAAATGTGGTCCTATTTTGTCATGACTCAAGCCTGTTTGTTTGTTGGTCCGTCACCCACAAAAGCTCAAGAGGCTTAAGTTAATATCTGATTAACTTACAATCACTGTAAGTTCATCACTTGCAGAATCCCATTGATTTTCAACGATTTCCAATTATTACTGCCAGAGTTATTGCCCTTGATTACTTTGAAAAATTGAATGTGGAAGCTCTAGAGGCTACAGTTATCATCCAAGTGTATTGAAATTTATACACAGTGTTTATATTCATGAGATATTTATGTATTCACAATGATTTCTGATAACTTATCATATAAATGTACGCGAAGAACTAGAAGCAAAGAAATTCTAATGATTTCTAATAATTATAATTAATTAAAGATACATTAGTTAAGAGTTTTATAAAGAGTTGACCATTCTTGCTATAATACATGTAATTCAAAAATAGATGATAAAAAAAAAATGTTGAAAATTTCAGTCAAATTACTTTGTTTTGAACAGAAGTGTCATTGTTGGAAATTTGAACTAGAAATGGGCATCAATTGTGTTGCACTGTCTATGAGAACTGGCGATCGTTTGATTGACAGACGATAACTCTACCCACATATTCTCGATTATCAAGCAACATGCTCAATGGCTATGGTAGCCTCGCTTGGCAGGCCTTTCAATACCAGTTTAGGGTAGTGACATCAGAAAACTAACGGTAAACGTTAGCTTGGTCCGCCATTTATTGATTTAATTTTAAATGGACCACTGTTTAAATCCAAACTGTATCCATGCCATTCGTGAGTCTACAGAGTTGATTTTGAGCTTGTCGTGTAAGTAAAGGTGTAATTATAATAATTTCTATAACATCTGAAGCCTAAATAAATACTTGCTATAGGCAGATTTAGCTCTTGCATAATGTATATTTAATTGGATAATGTCATGTTAATGCTTTCATTACTGACAAATGAAAAATATACGAGAACTTTTGTGGACAGCTCGGTGCTGTGAGCATATGTTTCATTGCCTGGCCATCTATCTTCTAAAACTGTGAATTAAACATACATAAGTTCATGTTTTATATCTACAGGATGATATAAGTTAAATGACACATTCTTGATATCTATTTAATTACAGGAACCATTAATAGGATTGAAAACTATCTTAGAAGCTCGGAAACAACAGATAGAGTAAGTTTATAACCTTTAACTGCAGTATCTACCGGTATATGTTGAATTTATTCCCTTGAATCATTGAAAAAAAAACCTTAAATGTTATAAGTGCTTTTATCTAATGTTTATGTTTCAAATTCTATAGCTATTTATATATTTGATGATATTCATGTGACATCCTGTTGTAACGTGTACAACACCTCTGTCGTGGGCTTTATAAATGTTGTATAAATAAAACAAAATTATACTCAAAATTTACTGGCCGTCAAAATTAACTGCTGATTTATTATCAGTAATTGTAATGCAGATAATTCTTCAGAAAGTGAATTGAGGAGACAATATAAGCCTTTGACTTGTTTTTGAGTTTTTAGTTTTTACAATGTGTGTCATGAATCTTATGTGAATATAGTTGACTAATTACCAAGATCCAATGAAATGAGCTACCACTAATTACATGTCACGAATGCAATAATGAATGTTGTACCATTTTTCACAGAAATGCAAAACCGCCCGAAGAACCAAAAGTTATAGTTGAAGAAAAAGATGATACATTAGTTGAAGAAAATGTGGGAGAGTTATCTTCAGATACATTAACAGATTCTGATTCATCTATTAGCTCAGACAGTGAACTAAACGAAGCAGATATCAAATTTTTAACTGCCAAATTAATGCAAAAACAAAATGGCCCCTTTGTAGACAGTAATGGATATTCTTCAACAAAGTCTGACGAAATTACGAACAGTGACTCTAATGTTAATCCCATTCAATCAAAATCTTTAACACGAAAAATTGCATCGAGGGATGGTTTTTCATCCAGTACAAATGCTTCAGTTTCATCCTCTACAGCGGACATGAGGTCATTACTACAACGATTAACAGCTTCTAAGGGACCACATATTAATACATTGTTACAAAAAGAGAGTTCTCAGTCAGTGCCGGAGGGAGGGAAACAATTTGTGTCCAGTGATTATGAAGATGGAGAGAGAGAAAAGGAAAAAGAAAGTTCTGAAGATGAGAGTGAAGAATCTACAAGTGAAGAAAGTGATGATGAAAAGAAGGATGATAATAAAGAAGAATATGTCAATGATTTTGATGATGAAGAAGAATGGATTGAAAATGCACCTAAAGCAAAAAATAAAGGTAAAAAATGTTCATATACATGTGACGTATACCATATATAAAGAAAAAAATGTAAAACTTGTCAATAAAAGTAGTTGGCAATCTCATCATTTTCTATAAAATAAAACTATAATTTATGCTTTGGTTCCATTCAGTAGTAAGTGCAGGAGGACTGCACCACACTTACAAACACCCATAAGACAAATGTAAGCATTTTAGACAGTAATTCAAAGCATGAACACTTATGTTTGTATTAAATACAAAGTTAGAGCATAAGTCATTTTACCAAAATATGATTGTTGGGAAATTCTACTGCTATATTATAGCTTTTATTTTGATATGATGTATGTCTTCTTTTTTTTTTATGATGAATATGTCTATTTTTGTATTTTGTATATTTTGTAGCAAGTGAGAATAATAAAGAGAATGGTGTATCTTCTACACCACCTACATCACGCCTTGTAGCTAGGTTGTTTCCTAGTTTAAATCAAGAACCAGCAGATAAACTAAAAAAACAACAGGTAAGTAGATATATATTTATAATAAACAAGAAGAGAGAATATGTACAAAATAAGCAGTTGGCTGAAGAAAATCCCCCCCACCCCCCACCCCCATACCAAAAGCCCAAATCCTAAAAACACTTTCACAGTATTTGAATAGATATATATTGTTAGACAAAGAAATTGAGGAAGATGACATCATATATTTGAGGATAAAGAATGCAGGCTCCTGGACTAATGGGTTGTCAGACATTTTGTCTATCAGGTATCTTGGTTTGCTGGTGAGCACCGATATGAAAAATGGTTTGTAAATTCATGTTTATTCTCAATAATAGGAGGCTGAAAAACTACAAGCTACAAAGACAACAGATGGAATTCAGTCTAAAATTCTACGTGATAAACTTGCAGAATTAGAAAAAGAAATTGAAAGATTTCGTAATGAAAATGCTGTTTTAGATAAATTACGCAAAGAGCGAGAGGAGGTGAGATCTTAGTTATTTGTTCACATAGTACATTTTACCCAAATTGTACAATTAATGTGTGTTGTCTGCTTGGGGGTGAACTGTTTCTGTAATGTAAGCTATATTCTGTGTTATAATTTTATTTATACCCAGAGCAGAATTATTAAAATAGTCGAGACTTCAAGAACAGAAACAAACACTGCAATTTCTTCTTTTTTCTTTTATTTTACAAGAAAAAAATCTGCATGAACCTGATTGAGGTGGAAATTTATGAAATAGTTTTTGAAATTGTTTATTAATATATCATATTAAAACCTACTTTATTTCTAGGGTTTATCAAAGTTAAAGAAAGAAATTCTTGATTTTGAAAAAGAGAAATCTGATGAGTTAAGTAGACTGGAAGAATTTAAAAATCAAGAAATGAAAAAATTAAAGTAAGTCTCCAAAATTTATGTCCCAAATATCACCCCTATTTGCTGAAAATAGTGAAAGGTGTCATGCAATTTGGCAGGGTATGCTTACACTTTCTACAACACCTAATACCACTTCTCATATTCTGAGCAGTTCATATAGCGAAGAAATTGGGGGTGGGGGCAAAATCACAATTGCCAGAAAAAAAATTAACATACTACAGTATATATTAGTACATGTATGCTAATCTCCATGGTATATGCTAATTCAGGGTAAGGTAGACACTATATAGTTCTTAGTTCGAATACCTGTGCTTGTCTGTTATACCTGTCTCCATGGTATATGCTAATTCAGGGTAAGGCAGACACTATATAGTTCTTAGTTTGAATACCTGTGCTTGTCTGTTATACCTATCTCCATGGTATGCATTTCAAAGTTTTCATCCAGATTTTTTGAAATATGTATTTCTATAATTGTAGACATGAACGTAAAATGTTTGAGAAATATCAGAAAACAATTAGATCTATGCCTGATAAAAAAGATAGAGATGAAATAGACATGTTGAAAAACCAGGTATGTATCATAATTTTTCAAAGAGGTTTTTAGAAACTTGACAGAAAATAGAGAAATAATGATAACATTGTCTGTCTCATAGCTGTCTTGTGTTCAGATGAAAAAGAATATTATATTATATATAGCGCAGAGTTCATGTTAACACAAAAGAAATATGGTATAAAAAAAGAATGGTATGTTCATAAAATTTTCATATCTTTGTCACCTAGTTCGTCAAAAACTTTGCATCTATTGTCGCGTTTCTCACCTTTACTGAAATAATCATTTGTTTGTCAAAAGTTAATGTTTTTATTACAGTTAAATGAATTACAAGAAGAAATGAAGAGAAAAGAAGGAAGATGGACAGCTAGTCAGTCACGTTTCAAAGATAAACTAGAATTAGTTGAATTGGAAAATAAAGAATTAAAAGAAGAAATCAAATTACTGGAGAAAAAACGTATTGAATGGATGCAGAAAGAAGCAACTAGTCAAAAGGTAGGTAGCCTAGGTTTATAAACAACCTGTCTAAAAGAAATTGGACTATAGATAGAATAAGTGAAGGGTACATACATGTATATTTTATATGCACACACAGTTATTACCTTCAAAAATTATTTTCTCGTTTATTTGTTTATCAGCAGGGTTTGGATGACCAACTGGTCAAATTTCAAGAATTTGACCCGTTTACATTACTCTACAAATGTGGATCTCTTCACAGAAAAGTTAATTTCAGTCCCTATGAAAATTACCCGGATGAAAACAATTATGACGGTTGATTTAGTTAGCGCAGCCATTTTGACAGAACTGTCAAAGTTCGCCGAAAAAGGTTCATTTGGCACATGCACAGTAAACGCTTATGTTTGACCCATTTAAACTAAAAAATGTAAACAGGGTTATTGAGTCAAGTTCGCCGAAAAAGGTTCATTTGGCACATGCACAGTAAACGCTTATGTTTGACCCATTTAAACTAAAAAATGTAAACAGGGTTATTGAGTCAAGTGGCGTGGTTTCGATCCCAAGGAGTAGAGTCGCCTTCCTAACCTCGTTGGTTTCATCCCGCTACTAAAGGACCCATCGCACAATACAGTAGGATGCCCACCACAAAAATTATTCTATTATACGCATATTCATTTATCGTCACTAAATAAACGGTCATTTTGCATGTAACAAGTTACAACCATTTTAAGTGCAATAAAAATAGCACTGAAATTGTAATCTGCAAGCAAACACCACATCCAGGCATTTTTGAATGCAGCATAGGTCATTGTCATTTTGAGCGTGAACATTCGAGGAAGTAGTTTCAACATTTAATAGAGCAAATTTCTAACTGTGTTAGACACCGTAATACCAGACGTATAATTGTTATCCCTCATCTTTGTGAACAAGTAGGTATGCCCTTTAAAAAAAAGGGACAGATTTGAGCAGTTGATTTATGACATAAATAGACGAAAATATATATAAAATAAAATAATTTACCAATGTATTTAATTATTATTTGTAGATTCAAGTTAATGGTCATCAATCTTACCCTAGAAGTTCTACACCAACACAAGAAACAGAACAAGAAAAACCTAATGTTAATAATAATCATAGTAAGAATTTCAAATTCAAGATTCCTTATGCAATGAAATGGATCAAAACATATCTTTATATCCCAAAGATCTCAGTCCCTTTTGATATTTGAGCATTTCAGACCATAACTTTCTGGATTATTGCCCCTGATTGTACAAAAAATCCTGTTTGTTTTTAGCTTGCTCTCTATCCATCTCTTGCAAAATGTGGGTGTATGCTGCCTGGCAGCCGCTGTTTTTTTTTTTGTAACAGTAAGCATCCCATGAGGTTAACTATTTAAACACATGTATACCTGAACTTAGGGATAGTTTGCACATGGATTACAGATAATTTGACCGTATTTTTTGTGAATGACTAATGATAATTAATACATGTAAATTTCAGTTTCACCACCTAGAAGTCAGCCACCACCACAGAAGAAGGGTATAATTAATCAGATGAAGTTTCATACAGCGAGTAAATCACTGAGTTTAACCACAGATTCTATACCTAATCTACAGTTCTCTACAACAGATCCACAACCTAGAGTTCAACCAACTAAAATAACCAAGTATGTTGCTAACAACTTGTCTATGTAGTTTAAATTCCAATTCTAATTTTTTCAAATTAGTAAATGATCAGCCATCAGATATGTGTAGCCTGCCATTCAACAAAAAATTGAATTTGATCTAAACATTGACCATGTTCTGAATGACCCAAAAACAAACATTTTTTATGTGTTTCCATTCCTGTCAATTTTATGATTATCTGCAAAGAATTGTCCTGAAAATGCACAGAATCTGATCTTGCTGTAGCCTATATAACTGTCAAAATGGAAACTGTGTGAGTCCAGGTTATAAGAATGAATGAAAAATCTTTTAGCCGCTAGAAGGAAATGCAAAAAATCTTTTAGCCTCTAAAAGGAAATGTAAAATCAATAATTTACTTTTCTGTCTGGGTCAGATTTGTTTGCAGTATTTTGGATCTAAAAAATAATGTTATAACAGGATTTTTTAAATTATTTTCTCAAAGGATAATATAGATAATTACTTATCACATCACATTTCAAGCTTCTTCATTTATCTCATGCTATTTATGTGAATTCAATTACATAAATATTACTTATCGTGTATCTAAACTATTCTGTTACTTAAATGCTAAGTTGAATGAATGCTTGTGTGAATGCTACTTCTTCCTACTTCCATTACTATGAAGTATAATTTGAGCCATTTCTTTCTTATTACTAGATGTAGTTCCCAGGATAATTATCATCCAGTTGAAAGTATGATCGCCATTTCTTGATAACAATGAATATGTTTTTATATGGCCCAATTTATTGTTAGAATAGAAGACTATGTTGGATTATTTTTTTGCAGATCGGTAGATAGCACAGTATCTACTAGTAGTTCAACATCAAATTTATCTAGAAAATTGGCTACAAAAGTTCTTTCTGATCATCCTACTATAGATAAAGGCAATAAACAGTTTGAAGAATCACAACATGTTGATGGAAAGGTAATAACATGGCCTTATTCATAAATATGTCTTGTCTTATTATACAATAAAATATGGATTGAAGTCAACATGATTTCAACCTTTATTTTGTGTGCTGTACCAGACTAATTTATATATTTAATGATTGATATACTATCTTTCCTACAGATAGAGAGAATATATAAGAATGGAGCTAGAGAGATATTGTTTGCTAATGGAACTCGTAAAGAAATATCATCTGATGGACAATCAATTGTTGTTGCATTTTTCAACGGTGATATCAAACAAATATTTCCTGATAAAAGAGTTGTAAGTTAATTACTGTCAAATAATATTTTCAGAAATCCATATATTGTGTAACTTAAATTCAGCTTTCTTCTGGATTTGGTGTGATTCTTTGATATAGATATCTATTATGTTAAAATGTTTTATTATTTTTTTTTAAATTAAACCAACCGATTTTGCTTTCAATAATTGACGGTTAAAGCCAAATCAGGCCCCTGCAAAAAGTTTCGCCCCCCCCCCCCCCCCCCCCCCTGTGAAAACATTTTCAACCATAAAAAAATAGATATACATTGTCCGTCAATATTACAGCCCCTTGAGAACACTTCCCGCCGTCCTTGTTGCTCTGAGCTAGTTACGGCCCTGAGCCAAATACAAGAGTAAAATGACTTTGCCAACATGAAAATCAAATAATATATATCAAATCTTTATGTAAGTTATTCTTTGACTATAAAATGATTATAACCTAATCAAAATAATATCAGACTAACCCAACACTTTATTTTGATCTTCTGGCATGGTATCCCTTGTGAGTGGTGCCAAATGAAACAATGTCAATGAGCAGAGTCATGTCATTTGCATGGGATGAAAAACCAAGGTCCTGCAAAAGAACCCTTGCTGTCGGGGCAAAATTTCTTTCGTTGCACACTACATGGCGTATATTTTCATTAGCTCGTTGGTGTAGAAAAGTAGGACATTTTTTTATTTTGTTCCAATTAAAAGAGGTCCTGCTCCTAATGTTCCTTTATTGCTCTTGGCAACGTTAGTAAAGATAATAATTGACTAAACTGTTGTTGTAATGAGGAACCATATTGTTACATTATTGTACATGTATTTATTTCAGGTGTATTACTACGCTGATGCCCAAACATCTCACACAACTTATCCTGACAGTCTGGAAGTTTTACAATTTCAAAAGTAAATTCTTTTTATAAATTGACCATATTCTTTAAAGAAAAATAACCTAGAATTTAAACAATATACAGATGTTGTTGTTTTACATGCTGGATTATTTGTTTTGAAAACAAATGTCCACTAATGTGTATGAGAAAGCCGGATTTTATACTGGAGGAAAATATATACGGTTTAATAGAAACTAGAGAATATCCACCGTTGTCTAATAAAAGTATTATCTCCTAATCATTCATTTTAAAGTTAGAACAACCAATGTCAGATAATACAACTGAATCCTAAGATCGAAGGTTATTCTACATACAGAATTGACATCAAAGAAAATAAATATGTAGTTTTATTTTGAAGACCTCAATCAGTTGTTACATTTATTTCAAATTTTAACTGATTTCAATATTTTTGTTCCAGTGGTCAAATTGAAAAACATTACCCTGATGGAACAAAAGAAATAACTTTTCCGGACCAGACAGTGAAGTATTTATTTCCAAATGGATCGGAAGAGAGCATATTTCCAGATGGTACAGTGATACGAGTGGATACAAATGGTGATAAAACCATGGAATTTCCGAACGGTCAGCGTGAAATACACAATTCACAATTTAAGGTATATTTCATATTCAATATACATTGTATGGGGGGTATAGTAATCCAATTAGGACACTTGACTCTGAGGTCGCAGGTTCGAATCCTTTTATGATCTGTTAGATTTTTTAAGCGCAGTTTTCTGCTCTGAGAAGGGAACTGTACCTTATTATTCAAATGGAATTCTGATCCACCCATAAACACGCTGATGTGAAGGTTGACAATCAGAATTCAGAAAAGAGTAGTAAGTAAAACTTCTGTCTATACCAAATTGTCCTCCCTGGCAGTTTCATAACTATAGTAAATAATGTTCATTACTGCATGTTATATTTATTAGGGATAGTCGTTCAACCTACCTACACAGTTCCGTGGGTTATTCGTTTCGGCGAAAGGGTTGAAGTTTTCGATGGTTCATTAGTCTCAAGTAATGTGCTGATTATGTTAGATAACATTCAAACTATCAGTTGATGCAGTTAGATTTTAAGAATATTTTCATTCTAATTTATTTTACAGAGACGAGAATATCCAGACGGTACAGTTAAGACAGTTTATCCTGACGGTAGACAAGAAACAAGATATTCTACTGGACGTATCAGACTAAAAGATAAAGATGGAAATGTTATAATGGATAGAATATGCTAGAAAAAGTCTTGAATAAAAAACAGTTAGTGATGGTGTATATAATACTGTGATATCGTGCCTTGACTTAAAGAAAGACAACTTTGACTTGTAAAACATAAATCAGGACTACTTATTGTCATGTCACAATTAAAGTCTGTGATTAGATGTTGTAGTTCTGTTTATTGGAGAAACATGTTGAATATTTCAAATCGATAGCCTGCGGATGTAATGTTTAGTGAATATTGGATAATTTTGCACTTGTAAATATAAGTTTTAGGGAACAAAGGCCTTAAGCAAAAGATTCCTTGTGCCAAGATCCAACTTCTTTTATTTTTAAAGATTATCATCTTTTGTGTACTCACCAGTGACAGGAAACAAATTTTTAAGACATTAGGTCAGTGGGAAGGCTAGCTCTGTTTGTAACTCTTCTTACTGTCCAAGGTTTGTGATTCAGATATAAATAAACAGTGAGATTAATGAAATGTGTAGATATAATCTGAAGGCATCTGGGCATAGAGTGTGGAAAAAAAAGGGGGTGGGTTACCTCAATATTATATGAGGTTGCACTAGCATTGTGATAACTGGGTACATTTTTGTATGGATTTTGTGGAAAAATTATTCGTCCCAGTGCACTGGTTTTCAAGACAACAAATGCTTTGGGTATGCTTAAAAATACTATTGATTTTCAATAGCAGGTGTGCGTTCATTTGGAAGTCTATATAGATGATGGTGACTCCCTAGAAAAATGGCAAAGGATTAATGTTTTTGTTATTTGAAGACTGGTTGGTGTAGGCTTACTGTTCTGTGTACATGTATGAGATGTAATTACATCCAATAATGAAAAAACATTAGAGGAAAACATACAAAATGTGTATGACAAGATTGACAGGACACAAAGGAGACAGAACCGTCTATAAAATAAATGTGTGGAACAAGATCATCAAGATACAAAGGAGACAGAACCATATCATATAAATGGATAATTTCTAGTAACAATAAATATGTGTAGAAACAGAATGTATATACATTTTAATTTATGACAGATCGATAGTGGAAAGAAAAATTTGCTATTTTGATTGCAGAAAAGTAAATACATGTACATATAAGCTACATAATTGAAAGTTAATTTGAAAATTGATTTAACCACAAGTGAATGGCTGCAAGATCTAGAATATTATTTGGCTAATTATAATTGTTATAAGTTAAGTCAAAATCATTTACAAACTGCTATGAAACATATGAAATTTACTCCATTTTAAATAACATCATATAAGGTTATATGGATTGCAACTATGATCTTCTAGATATTTATAGTGTGTTTAATGTTGTATGGTTGAATTGTATACTAACAGTCTAGTAGATAAGATCTGGTGAGGTGTGATATTTGGAATGAAATGTTTGCTACTTTAATAAGCTTTATTAATACATTCCTTTGATGGATTTTTGCTTTTTTACTACAAAAATTTCAATGTCAATGATAAGTAATATTAAAGTACCTGATTCTGATCATTCATGTTTTGGACAATTATCTAATTTCACATGTTCGCAATGCATATTTGTATAAGAAAATTATTATATCATTTCATTTGGATATGTGGTCTATAGAAAACTGTCATGAAATGATCTATATTGTTTATTTTCATTGCTCAAGAAATTTTAGTTTATATAAACAGAAATCAAATATTAAAGATACATTATGGGAGATTGGATAAAGAGCTGACAGTTCTCACTATAATAGTTAAAAACTAGATAATGTATTGGAAATTTGCTGAAAATTTCAGTCAAATTGATTCACCCCGAACCAAGATTTTAGCGATTGAATTTTCGGCTTAGCCTCAATCATCATTATTAAAGTCGGTACGATAAAAAACATAGTCTTGATGATCCATTTCATGATTAAATCAAGAATGAAAGTGGAGCAGCAAATGGTATCCTAATCCAGTAAACATCTCAGGCTAGCGTTGACATTGAGAGTTGATTATGGTCTGGATAAGTTAATTAATGTCTAATTAATAATTTAGATAACATTTCAGGCCGAAAGAAAGACCTGCAATAGGCAGATTTAGCTCTTGCATAATGTATGTTTAATATCATTTCACAAATATAAGTTTCATAGTTCTGACATTTTTACTTGCATATCAGAGAAGAAATCCAGTGTATACTATTTATAATCATAACTTTATTATTTGAATGAAAATATTGGATACCTTATCAATGTGCTTAAACAATGAATGCAAGTCAGATAATTCCTTGAGAATTAATGCACTTTTTCCATCCTTAATTTATCTTGGTGCTACAATTACCATAGTAACAGTGTGCCATTTTACTTTTGAATTACATTCAAGCCAACAATTGTTTATATTGATACAAATACAAATCCATGACAAAATATTAAAATTTAATATATGAATTAGTCTAAGCAATATGAAACAAATTAATATATATTTAAATAAATTCGTATAATGTGAAATGAATTACACATTTAACTGTAACAGAGTAATTCAGATAATACATTAGATGGATGATGTTAATATGCCCTAGTCGCTTACAACAAACCCTCGTGTAGATTCATTTAATTTATTATTAACGCAAATATATGAAAAGGCTTCAACAAAAATAAGTGTTAGTTTGTGATTTACTATTTAACCATGTTTGGTTTGTTAAATATAAATTCACCAAAACAAATGTGCCTTTATGTATGTTTTATATCTCCATGCAAATAAATTTGTAAGTGAAAAAAAATCCTGACAACCTATAACAAATATGCTACAAAAACTTCACGATGAGATAGCATTGATTTTCACTGCCCTGTAAAATTGTTGATATGGCCATTTATGTTTTGGAATAATTCCATTACTTTTAGATATCTTTATATTGTGGCTTATTTACGACCGTCCAACTTCTCAAGACATCTATGTTCGGATAACAAAAATATTCTGTATACATGTATGTATTTTTCATAGGAGTCTGTTAGTTAATCAGAGCTTTTCACTGAATGCTTATTGCCATTATTTTATACAGAGATGTGCAGCCATACATTTTACCATAAACATTTAATTTATTGTTTCATTTTGATCAATCAAACACCATTTAATCATTAGTTAGTTTGATTATATTTTTAGATTATTTTCCTTCAAGGTCACAAATCATTTTAATTGTAAATATTTCCGTATTTATGTTCCAAAAAATATATGACATGTTAATGCTCTTTATTACTGATAGGAGTCTTTTTCAATAAACCTTAAAGATATTTAAGAAAGCTACCTTTTCTTTGATCAAAAGAATCAAATCCTAGCAGAGACTTTAGAGATTGGCTTTTATAAGAATCCATAGAACATCAGACAAAATTTTAGCTATTAGGTTACATTGTATTTACATGTAATGAGATGGTTTAATGGATGTATACAAAGATGTCCCTATGTTAACCAAATTAAAAAATCAAAACAGTGTAATTTAAATAAAACCTGATTATTATTGTTTATTTTCATGTTACATGTTGTAATTTTTATAGTTTTTTTGTATGAATCTAGATAAAGTGCTTTTATATGTATGGTACAGGGCATTATGTCTTCCTACATATTTAATTATTGTGAATAAAAGTTAAAATATTAAAATCAATCTAATTTCTTGCCATTATTTATGTTTACATGTATATAGGGTAGATAATAATGAAAAATAATTAACCTGCCAACTGGGACATTATAAGGCTGACAAGTAAGTGTGTATTATCATTCAGGATGCAGGAGAAACTTGAGGTTTTGTATATAATTTGTTAGCACAAGTAGGATAGTTAGTCCAAATTCGAAATGTAGCTTTAGAAAATTAAAATTATCACGTTAGTCTCAAGATAACCAAATGTTCTGTTGACAAAGCTATAAATCTAATTTCTTCCGTCTATCTGGATTTTAGAAACAAATTCTGGGTTTAATTCAGGAAAAGCTAAGTAGAACTTGACATATTTCAGCCATGTCTTTAGTGCTCTCATCTTATTTTATGGAGTTCATTCAGATTTTCCAGCGTGGTTTCCCTTTGTCATTGATGAAGGAGGGAGGGCCTGACAAGGACAGCTGTCTAGTCGTTCGGATGGGACGAAAAACCGAGGTCCCGTGAACACATTGGCGTGCACGTAAAGGATCCCTTGGCAGTTGGAATTCGATATAAGAGTAGGCCGTAGCCCCGCTGCCCGGGCAAAATTTCCCTCATAGCACACTGTATGGCGTATGCCTGTCTTCATTAGCCCAGGTTAGGAGCAGAACAGTAGGACGTTAAACTCCATTTCAATTCATTTCATTTATTTTATGGACCCGTCTTTATTAGCCTAGTCGAAGCAGACCAGTAGGACATTAAACCCCATTTCATTTCATTTATTTTTTTTATAAAAAGGCTGCTATCAACAAAAACATGTGGTGGCTCAGTCTCCATGCAGTCAAAATCAATAGCCCAATTGTTTGATATTTTCAGCCAGTAGTAAGACAACTTGAATAAAGCCAAGCAAGCTTATTTCATTTGCATTTAAATTCAAATGAAAATGTTCTTTTCTTCCATTTAATATGTTGGTCATTTCCCCTAAAATTAGATACAGCCAATCAAATATTTGGATAATTAAAGATTTTGTCGAATTGTCGGTATCACAGGTACAGGTATTAATTGGAAGGCTGATCCTGACTCAACAATCACAATCTGTACATTATTGGATGTGTCTTACAAAAAAATGTTGTTAGAACTTCGTACCAGAAAAAATGGGGTAGGAAAATAAAACAGAACAAACTGTTGATATACTGTAATTTAATTATAGACTGATTTAATTTGCAAAAAAGTAAGGCGAGACATAATATTTGCAAATTTGATCAAATGTTTTGATTTTTTATTTCAACTATATAACTATGGCCAAATAAAATAAAATATTCTGGTTCTCAGATACTCCTGTGTCGTTTAAAAAGAGCCACATGACTTGTTTTTATTTTTGTAAAATATAAAAAACGGTCTCATAATTACTGCATGTAAATGTTTTCCCTGGGTTACATGAAGTAACTCAAATGAATCCGGACATATACAACCCTGATAAATGTTATTTACAAATCATAAATGATACTCAACATCATGAAGTGATAAATGTTGTGCCTTACCGGTAGTGGGTTGGGTAGCCAAATGGTTAACACGTGCGCGTTGTATCAGACGGTCTGTATTGTATTGAGTCAAGTTGTGTGGTTTCAATTCCACGCTTGTACAGGACAAGGAGTAGGGTCGCCTGTCCAACCTCGTAGGTTTTTTCTGGGTCCTCCAGGTTTCCTCCCACTGCTAAAAGACCCCTACGCTCAAGCAAATTATTGAAATAAAATTTTAGTCCCAAAATGACCTAGTTTGTGTCGAGTGGATGTTAAACCCAATTTTTTTCTAGCCTTACCGGTAATTGAAACATAATATTTTGGAGAAGTCATTTAGCCCAGTAGTGATCCTTTGATAAAAAAAAAAAATATCCCTCCTGCATCAGAGTTTTTAGAAAGGATTGTTTGAGAACCAGAATTTTCTTGTTTAGCCTTAGGATCGTCAAATCTTTAAAGGAGCTAAGTCTCTAACTCAATATCATCAAAAATCTTCAACATTGAAAACACGATTTATTTGTCAAATTACATCAACATTCATGTTGTGATCTTACCGGAAAAAGATGGGCTTTTGATATCCAATATTTAAGACAAAATAAACATTTTACCATTAGTACACGAATCGTGTACCATAATGCGCTTCAGCCCCAGTTGTATCAAGAGACTCGAGGGACGAGGCTAGACACATTGCACCATATCAAACGGCGTATGTAGACTGGAATAACCAGACGCTAGAAATTTGCACTCGCTTGAGACTGCTGGCTTATTTCGCCGAACATATCTGATTTGAAATTGGAGTAAAAACGGAAACCATTGAATGTAAATCAGTTTATATACATTCATATTACAGTATTATATGCGTTGCGACCCACTTTTGTCAATTTCTAGGTCCAAAATGTTAGCGATTTAGCTCCTTTAAGTTTGCTCAAGATTTATAGAACAAGCACAAGAACCCAATAAATATTCAGTTCTTGTTGTACAGAGCTAGATTCCCAACCCATTCCTCATTCTGGTCATAACTAGTGTTGAAGCTCTGGGCATATTTTAATATTCGGCTATCCGAACATATTCGTGTGTAATTTAAAACTTAGTTTTGACGTTTCAAGCGCATGAAATTAGTCTATTGTACGAATAAAGGCTAATAAACCATAAGATAAATATTCAAATAGATGATTTGAATTATTAGACATCTTTTTAATAGCCTATATTGTCATTGTCACTAATAAGCTTAATGCAGGATGTATCAAACGATCGAGCCATCGTTTTGAAGAATAAATATGGCTGCATGCGGAGAGGGAGAAGGCTTTCATCAAACTTTTATACCCAGAACAGTCTTATTTTAAAACATTGTCTAACTAACAAGAAAAATCATTTCATAAGTTTCTAAAACTTTATTTATCTGAACCAATTTATTTGAAATGATCAATCCTTTTATATTTCGTTATAAACAACCCCTGCCCGACTCAGACTGCCAACATTGGAAAGACAGGGTTCGGCTCAAAAAAATCAAACCGTAATAAATGGCACCATATGAAGGAAACACACATGAACTGTTCAAACAAAAAGTTTTAATTGATTACTGTCTAAAACTAGCTACAGCTTTTTATCTTTTAAAATCTCACGTAAGAATATTATTATTAGATGGTCGACGTGTCTGGATCCAGATTTGATCTTTTAGTGGTAACTAAATTTACCGCTGGGGAAAACACACGCTCTGATGGTACCAAGGTGGCTGGAATACTAACATAAGATTTGGCCAGTCATGGCTATCTAAGTTTAGCAGAGGAAATAAACAAAGACCACGTGTATACAGCTTGACTTTGCCTGAATGTGCTGAATAGCTACAGCTCTAATCATCGGCAAAGTGCACGACTAGGAGCTCGCCATGGGCCATGGCATTCGTCTAATATTTGAACTGTGCTGGTTATGACTATTTAAAAGTAATAAAACAGTTGTATTGGGTAGAAAGACTAAATGCTTCGGATCTGTCGATATGTTTCAAGCCTTATTTGCAGAAAATTATTGCTCATTTAATCCTATATAATATAAGGGGTCGTTTCAAAATAACACAAACAGTTATGAAAAAAAAAACATCGGATAGCACGAATAGTTAAAGCATCCGAATATCCGCGAGGTTATATCCGTGAATGGATATTCGGATACAAGTTTCAACACTAGTCATAACAACACACCATGATTGCTGACTTTGTATTTTAAATGTGAAAATGAAACAATTGGTGATAATAATGATATATTTGACCAATATTGACCGAATATAATGTTTTATAATGTTAAAGTTACATTCCTGCGTACAAACTGGTTGATTTGATAATATATTTGGCCTAAAAACATATTCAAACTAATTAATTTATCATAAATTTGCTTCAAATCCTTCTCGAAACATTGTAATTGTCAAGGAATACCCTTGCTATAAAAAATCGATCAAAAGAGGTCATGTTTGTGTCACGTGACTTACGGGTGCGAAGTCGGAGGACAATTCATTGCATACACAAGACGATGTTGTCTTTGACTATTACAAATATCGAAATCTAATTAAATTCACGGATTATCCATTGCCGCGTCTTTTTCCATGATTTTTATCTCAGAAAGTGTTGTACGTCTATCTCTTCATAAAGTTTATCAACATGTACATCTAGCGCTCAATATCTGCGTGCAACCTTTGAAATCACACGTGCAGATATTCTTAATCGTCGGGCTGTCGATTAGGGGAACCCTGACATTTTTGTCATGTATACGCTCCATGAGTGTTTTTCAGGGAATCCAGTATTTTTCTAGTAAGATTGGATATCTCTACTTTCCATATATACCAAAATTGCAATACTTTTATTGGAAATAACCACCCGATAAATACTTTTCTGGGAACCTATCTTCAAGAGTTAGATAAGTTTGACCCATAAAACGAATTTTAGTCACATGACACTTATTCCATGATATATGAAAATGGTTTATGGTATATATACTAAATTAATCAAATATAGATAGGCTTACAATGCAATCACTACATTTTAATGTAGATAACATGTATTGATTTGAAACTGTAACAGAGACATGGATCTGGCATGGCAGATCCCAGGGTTGGGGGTGGGGGACCAGTTAGTAACATAACCAAAATATTTACTAAAATTTTGAATGTTCTTTTCCAGAGAGTTTTTGAATGTTGGGACACAAAAACACTTTATGTCTTCCGCTGCTCAACATACATTGTTGTGTCCTTTTTCAGTTCCTGGATGTTTCACATATCTTTAATTGTAGCACATTATTATTTATTTGGACTCCACAAATGAACTTTGTTTATGTACTTGTTTTTGTATTACTTTGTTGCATTTTCTCAGCCTGAGCTTGTAATAAGTCCATTCGTTTTCTCATATAATGCTGCCAATGTAATAACTGTTGATCGTCTATATATTTTGAACACCTTGCATTCACCAATTCCTTTCGAAAATGTTCATACTGTAGCAATTCAAGAAAATGGAGGCATTGAGGATATCTGAAAAAGAAACAAGCCAATAATGAGGCTAATGTCCCACACACTAATCCGAAAGTAGAGAGAGAAATGGGGATTAATGCCAACTAGACACAAACTAGGTCATTTCAGGACTTAGATGTAATTCAATTTAATTTCAATAATTTGCTTGAACGTAGGGGTCTTTAGCTGTGGCAGGAAACCGGAGGACCCAGAGAAAAACAACAAGATTCTACGCTATTCCGTTGTTACATACAAGCAGGGAATCGAAACCACGTC